CTATTAGAGTCTAGGCCAGTGTTTACTCCTAAAGAGGAAGAGAACATTGACATTGACCCAGAAATGTTCTAAAAATAAAATTTTATTTTTACATGTCAAATTTCTTCTTCGGTGGAACTGGCTCTGGTTCAGGTTCTTTCTTCTCTTCTTCTACTTTCTTTTCTTTCTTTTCTCTCTTCTTCTTTTCTGGTGGAGTTATGTCAAATTTCTCCGAACCATATTTCTGTAAAAGTTCTTTGTCCTTTAATAGCTCTTCTATTCTGTTTTCTATTTCATCTTCAAGAACACCGCATGTGTCTTCTTTGCATTCTAAGAACTTTTGTTGGACTTCATCTTTCCAATCGGCGTCATCTCTGTCAACAAGTCTGTCATTGACAAATTTTAAGACTGCTCTTTGTAATGTTTTATGGTTCTTGTCATATTCCTAGAAACAGAACTTTAGAACAAATTCACCTTTCTTGTTTACACTATGTAAGATTTTATGGTCGACAGATGTTTTGCTGTCAAAAAGTTTGTCTCGAATATAGATAGCGAAATCGCTAGACATTTTCTAAAAGATAAAAATTTTAATTTTTCTAAAAATATGTTAGAAAAAAAGTTTGCTGACATTGACAAGAAATTTGAGAATGTTTTAAACAAGAACAAGAGGAAGTTAGAAAATGCTCAGATAAAGCCTATACATGAAAAGTTCTTATTTGCTCAGAATGGTATAACAGGTCTAATTGCACCACCTGGGTCGGGTAAGACTTTCACTTATCTTAAAATGGCTGCACAACAACAAGAACTAGATGAGAAGAACCCATTCTATGAGTTAGTTGTTATTTGTTCGACTTCTGGTCAATTTGACCAAACCGTCAATTCGTTCAAAGATATTATAAAGAAGTCTAAGTTAGTATGTATAAAGGATACTGAGTTGTTAGATTGGATAAAGAAGTACCAAAGAAGAGTTTTGAAGTATAATGCTATAAATGAGTATATAAATTCTAAGTTTAAAGAACCTAATGAGGAAATGCAGAGAATATTAGAGAAGAAACACTTCAGAAACAAACAGAAAGAGATAGAATACATTTCGAAGAAATTGCAATCTTACGATTGGAAGACTTACCCTCATAGATGTCTTCTTATCTTAGATGATTTCGCCTCTCATCCTTTGTTAAAGAACAGAGAACAAGATATGTGTCGAATTCTTAAGAAGCTCAGACACTTTAACATCTCAGTTGTCATTTGTGTACAGACAGCAAAGAGTTTAAGTAAGGATGTAAAGAGAATACTTACTGACATTATACTTTTCCCCGGATTGTCCGAAGACGATTTCATGGAACTTATGAAAGAGTCCATGGCAGGTAAGTTTGACAGACATGAACTCTGGGAGAAGTATAAAGTCATACAAGACCCTCATACTTCTTTCAGAATTCATATCTACGCGAACAAAGTTCAAATTGTGTAAATGGTCAAGCTTGAAAAATAAAGAGTTCATCTACCCTACTTGTTTGAAGTTGTCAAAATACTCTGTTATTTTTTCCTTCAGTAATGTTAAGTCTTCTTTGAATGTAAGTATTGTACAACCTTTAATATCATAGTGTGTTTGAGGTAACGTATCTTGAACTATTTGTTTCATATCTTCATTTGGGGTCATTGAAATCGGTAAGTTTTCGCGATAGAACCAATTTCTGTCAGATTTGTAAATCTTAGCAAGGTCGTAAAAGCTTTTGTTGTTTCTTCTGACTAAATGCAACATAACCATGTCACTGTCTTCCATATCTTCAGTATAAATCATATACTTATAGTTCTTTTCCTTTCCTTTTGGTACTGAACGTGGTATTCTTTTCTGAATGCTTTTGTCTTTTGCTTCAAGCTTGTTTTCCATCTCTCCACGTTCTGCTTTATATAGTTCATCTAACATCATGAAAATATAACAAGCATAACGAGGTGAAGCCCACATTGCTACAGCGTTTACTAAAAGTCTATGAATATAATAACCTTTCAAACCAGGTGCCAAATTCTTGCGATTTTCGTACGGAATCTCTTCTCTCGGTTTTCCGAGGGAAGCAATCATATGAGGAAATTCTTCTAAAAGTTCTTTTGTCTGTTGGTTTTCAAACCAATGATATGCTTGCTTTGTAGAACGAAGAGCGTTCATTATACTTTGCATCTGGTACATGTCGTCTTTGACTGAACGAATGAGACGTAACTGTTTGTTATACTGTATGTATTCATATTCTTCATTAATGGCTTCATGGACTATAACTGTTGTTGTGTTCTCTGTTGTTGACATATCTGTCTTTATATTCCGGATAAAAAATATTTTATAAAAAACTAACTTTATTTTTTCTGTCTTAAGGAAATGTTAAAAATTCATGATTTTCATGAAGTTTGGTCATTTTCAACATAACCTTCATTGCATGAAAAGTGTCATATATAACATATATATGATATTTTACTAAAAAATATGTAAGCGGCTCATAGCTCAGTGGTATGGACTCCCTTGTCATAAGTGTCGAGAACCTCGGTTCGAGTCCCGATGGTGTTCAGTTTTTTCCTTTTCTGCAAAAAAATTGAGAGAGCATTGAATTTGCAAGTACAAAGGGTCTATTTGGTGTTAGACCCTAGCGAAGAAAATATGGTACTGGAACGATAGAAGTTTACATTTGTAAAGTTGGACGATAAAATTTACTGACTAACGTCGGTTCGCATCCTGACTGACATCAGGATGGGTCCTGACTGACGTCGGTTCGCGTCCTGACTGACATCAGGATGGGTCCTGACTGACATCAGGAAATTCTATCGTTCTACTTTACAAAATGTAAACTTCTATCGTACATGATATTTAGTTGACATTGTAAACTATCTTCATGTAAAGTACGGCGGTTTGAAACCGTCGGGAACATTCACTTTTTTAACGAACTTTCCACAGCATTTTTGGAATTTTGTGAAAACTCAACGGTTTGACACATGCCCTATGTCATTTTACTCAGAATCTCACGAATTCAATAAAAATATATTTTAGGGTAGATGGTTAGATCTAACCCGATTTCTAACCCGATTTCTACCCCAGTTATTTTATAAACGTTTTACATGGTAAACGTTATTTTTGGAATTTTGTGAAAACTCAACGGTTTGACACGTGCCCTAAAAATTATTTTACTCAGAATTTTGTGCTGAATTCAGCAAAAATAATTTTTAGGGTAGATGGTTAGATCTAACCCGATTTCTAACCCGATTTCTACCCTCATTATTTATAACCGTTTTACATGGTAAACGTTATGAATTCGTGAGATTCTAAACAGTTTTGTAGCTTCTATTTCTTCGCTGAGGATATCAAAAATTTTAACAATGCCGAAGGTTTCTTTATACTTCTTCTTGACGTCAGATAGAAGGAAATCGTCAGCAGTTGGATAGTTTTTGTTCAGAAATGACAGCATGTCCATTTTATTTTCTACCGGCTTCTCTGCTTCTTTCTTTAAGTCTGCATAGTCGTTTCTCATACGTTCTATCTCTTTGATGGAGTAATTATATTTCCTCATTGCTGCTTTACATTTTGGACATTGCGGATTCATTTTTGCGTTATACATTGAAATAAAACCAGCTAGAACAACCAAGGCGTCAATGGTTTTCTTTAACTCAAAGGCTGCTGGTTTTATCTGTTCATTCCATACTTTACCTCTTCTATCTTTATCTCTTATCTGCCATACACATTTTGCAACTAATGAAACAAAGTTGTCGTATGTCTTAAACTCCCCCGATTTATATATGTCAGAGATGTTCTTATATACCATGTCGCAATCTTTGTCCATAACTTTATGGTTGCAATGATATCCTAGAAACTCATAATTTACCTTTCGTATGAACTTCTTTATTTCTACTGAGTCAGTTGGTTTCACTTCTATTTCATCGAATTCAGGAATAGTGAGCTTTTGTTGTTGGATTTCAGGCAATTTGGGTAAATGGTCAATAATGTCCTGCATGTCATAAAGATATTCTTCATTTTCTTCATCCTGTGCGGTACAGTCTAAATTATTTGTTAAAAGTTCTTGCTTTATTCTTTGTATTTCTGTTTCGAAAGTAAATGAAGAAGGAATGAAGCTTTTCATCTCTACTAACATAGATGTTGGATTCATGACTAACGAGTTTGGTGCTGTTGTTTGAATTGTTGTTGTGCCGATTGTTGAAATCATATCTTTTATACAAAATAAAAAAATAAATAAAAATAAAACTAACTTTATTTTTTCTATCTTAAGGAAATTCATGAAAATTCATGAGGGTAGAAATCGGGTTAGATCTAACCATCTACCCTAAACATTATTTTTGGTGTAAATTTCATTGACTGACTGACTGACGGCACAAAGTGGCTTAACGAAAACATTAATATATAAAATTCATGAAAATTCAAGACCTTTGGGTCTCGCCGCTTAGCGGCTGAGGGTAGAAATCGGGTTAGATATCGGGTTAGATCTAACCATCTACCCTAAAAATTATTTTTGCTGAATTCAGCAACAAAATGAACGAGGTCAGGATGTATGTAAATACCTTTGAATTCATTTATAACGCCCTTAGTAAGCTCATAAAATGCTTGTTTTGAGGTTGAGCCACTTTTGGCTCCACCGTATTCTTTCAACCAAAACTCAAGAATTTCCTGCATGAATTTTGTATAAAAAGCAACAGTCCGAATTCCGGCGGTTGCTATATTTTTCACAAAATGCCTTATAATACTCTTCCCAGGACTTATTTTCCAACAACTTTCTAAAGTCTTTCCTAAACTGCTGACACATATTTGTTGCATTAATGTAACCATCCTTGTCTCTACGTAAGACTTCAATACCGTTATAAGTGCCTTTTGTGAATGTTTCGCCATCAGATTTGTTCGTGAACGTTTTTGCTTCGACTGACATTACTGTTCTTACATACAAAATAAAAAAATAAATAAAAATAAAACTAACTTTATTTTTTCTGTCTTAAGGAAATTCATGAGGGTAGAAATGAGGGTAGATATCGGGTTAGATCTAACCATCTACCCTAAACATTATTTTTTGGTCTGGGAACAACTTTCTCTCAATTGGAGCTGTAGCATACTCTTTGCGTAAGCGGTTCAGACCTTCTTCGAAGTCTTGGTCTCTCTTCGATTGAGATTGGAATTGGAATTGCTGGGGTGGAGCTTGCTGGAACAACCAAGGGTTGGGGAAGTAAGGCATAGGCTGAGGAGGGTAGTTCGGGAAGCCTTGTGGTGGGTAGTAACCTTGAGGTGGAAATTGGTAGTAATTCGGAGGTACTTGCTGGAACTGAGGTTGCTGAGGAGACTGTTGTGGTTCTTTAGGTTCCTCTGGTTTGGGAATGGACTCGGTTGGTGGGACGTCAGTCATCCGTTTGTGGCTTAACCGTCGGACCACAACGATAAAAATCTCTGCTACTAGCAGTACTTTTACTGACAGTAGCAGTACTTTTACTGACAGTAGCAGTACTTTATTGTCGAAAACCCTCTCAAATTTTCCTTTTTACTGACAGTAGCAGTACTTTTACTGACAGTAGCAGTACTTTTACTGACAGTAGCAGTACTTTTACTGACAGTAGCAGTACTTTTACTGACAGTAGCCCGCCTTAGTAAAATATACTTGTAATTTCCTATAGTTTACGCCGGTATAAAAGTAGAAAGAGTCTTGTTCTTCGCTATAGTAGTAAAACTCAAACGTATGCTTGCCATAGTCTGTAATTTCAATTGTTTCATCTTCTAGTTCGTCGACAAATTCGAATACAATATCTCCAAATTTGCCTTTGTTCTTATTGTTTTCAGAACGAGTGACCCAACGTAAGTTTTCAAGTCTATTGTCGTTTCTTATATGGTTTATATGGTCTACAAAAGGTAAATTGTTAGGATTCAGTATAAAATGAGTTGCAATGACAACATGTTTAAGATAGTGTTTTCCACCCATCTTCATAATAGCATATCCGTCATTTCGCTCCCATTCGCTTAAAACTCTTTTTGTCTTTTTGTTTCTGACTTCAAATGACTCACAACAGTGAATTTCATATTTCTCATCTAACAAACAAGTTTCCTTCAACTTGAGGTTCACTAACATCGAAAGGCATGTCCATAAGACGTTCTTCTTCTAACCTCTCTAGTCTGTTTGGATAATTGGCACGTGCTGTTTCCAAATCTAATTCGTAGGTCAGACCAGCCAGTTTGTCATAGACTTTTATGGGTCTTCCTTTCTTATATTTAAACTTCTTCGAAACTCTCCAACCATATCTTTGTAACTCTGCTTTTATTCTAGCAGACTTTCTGTCCATTCTATATGGGGGCATTTTTATAAAAATAAAAAAATATTTTTTTTCTTTACTTTACATAACCGCCTGCTGCCATAAGTCTTTGACGCCAACCCATACCAGCTAATGAAGGTTGACTTGGTTTAGTTTGGAAACTAAACTTTGGTTTTGGTTTATCTTCAGTTTTTGGTTTTTCTTCTTCTATCGGTTTTTCGTCACTTTTCGGTTCCTCTGACTTTACTTCACTTGCAGGAACAGTTGTGTCGTCAACATCTTCATAAATATCATATGCCATTTGTTTTTGTTTTCCTTTCAACTTTTTGTGTTTGTTGTAAAGTTTAGAATATTTCGACTCTAAGTCAATGAGATGTTCTATAATGAACTGTTGGTCAGTGAAGTAAACTTTTCCATCTGTTGTCTCGAAAGCTCCTTCAGACTTCAATATTTTATTTGTGAGAGTCTGTTTCTTTTTTGAGATACTAGCCGTTCCATTTCTATGAAAAGTGACTTTATAGTTAGGGTTTGTATTTCCAGACCTGGCACTTTCTATTATTGAATTTTTCTCTTCATCTGTAAGTTCTTTGACAGGTTTTGACAATGGTTCTGAACTTTTTGTTTGTGGTGTCAAATCTACCGTTTCAACTTCTTCGGTCATTTCATCTCAGTAAAAAATTTTAATTTGGTTTGTTTTCAACTGGTTGTTGTTGTGGAGGTGGGATGGTTCCTTTAATAATATCATTCAGTTTCACATGCTGAGCCTGACTATATGGTATCGGTTTAAATGCTGGAAGCCGACAAATCCATCTTGAACTCATTTGTCTCAATGCTGCATTGTTCATTTCATCCTAGTTAAAAACCTTACATTTCCCAAGTTTGAGGCGGTTGAGGTTGGTTATTGTTTACCCACTGTTGTGCATGGTTATATCCTCTGTTAAAGAATCTTTCACCTTGGTCCATATAGTGCCCTGCTTGGTTATAGTAGTCATTTGCTTTGTTATAATAGTTTCCTGCTTGTCTTCCTACATTGTCCATCCATCCTTGAACTTTTCCTCTTGTTTCAGGATTTGGAATAAGATTTGTTGCATCTCGTGCTACATCCCAACCTTTCTGTACAGTTTGTATAATAGGTTGTGCTTTCTCTTTCAGTATACCTAATGTACTCAAAATCTTCCTTCCAATTCCAAATGCACCTCTGGCTATTGTTCCCACTGCGGGTAAAAATCTAGATGCGACTCCTGCTAATGCGCCAAATAAACCCATTTCTTATAGGGTAAAAAATGACGAATCCGAACAAGGACCCCTATGTTTCTAAAGCGACAAAGAAAGCACTCATGATAAAAATCTTTAGTTCAACACCAAATGCTTGGTTTATGGATATCTTGGAAAACATTCCGAGGTATAGAGAAGATGGACCTCCATACTGGTTAATATTTGTTGGTCAAAACACAAGATACTGTGAAGCCATACCATTACAGTCCAAAGCTATTTTAGATATCTTAGCAGCTTTGACAATATTCGTTGACAAATACCATCCAACAAAATTGACATCTGACTGTGAAAGTTCTTTCAAATCAGATGATGTAAAAAACTATCTGCGTTCAAAAAATGTAAACCAATATTTCATTGTCGACCAAAACCATTCTGCTCTTGGTGTCATTGACGGTTGTATAAAAATGTTAAGAGACTTAAACCAACCACAAGGTGGTGAAGCAAATGAAATGTCATATGACGACAAGTATAGACACTTCTCTCAGGCAAAGATGAGACAAGTTTTAAATATTTATAATAACCGTAAACAAAAAGGTTTGGGAAACCACTCCCCCGAAGAAATGAAAAACAACCCTGACTTAGAGAAAGACTATATATTTAATAATTTAGTCAAAAGAGACAAACAAGAAAGAATGCCGGGCTTCAAACTTCAGAAAGGTGACAAAGTAAAAATAGAAATACCTAAACGCGACCCATATGAAAATACTATTGACTATGACAACAATGGGAACTCGACAGGTACTCACATTCGTGTTCGTAAAAATAGAAGAAAGTATACAAGAGAATATTATGAAGTTTTAGGCAAACATGGCAAAATGTACACACTGCAAGCAGAAGATAAAACTACTATTGTCAGACTCGTTTCAAACTTGTCAAAGTTCAAGGTGGTATACTTTCAAAGACAGTTCCTAACAAATATAAGACAACTCCTGACGAATATGCTAAAGAAGTTGAAAATGACGACTAAGCAATTCTATACCATGCGTAAACTGTCATGTAAGGTGGCATGTATTCTTTACTTTGTCCCGTTGTTTGCGTATATCCTGAAACGAAATGTGTATGGTTTCCTTCTCCCTGCGTGTCATCCCAGTAACAATTTATAGCAAACTTAACGTCGTCTTTAACATCATATCCTTTACCTTTTGTCATTCCTGATCAATCCCAATATCTATGCTTATGCCAACCTGCTTGAGATGTACTTAAATCTATGTAATGACTGTGTGCAGGTAAATTGTCACCTGAAATCGTTTTACTTCCACCTGTTTCATTTGAAGAGTTTGCACAATACAAAAACCTGTCGACTATTTGTTCCCATGCACCAACACCAAACATTACTTGAGGACCTCTTGCATCCATAGATGTATAAATAGAACCTACTGGGTTCATTAAATCAAACATATGAGATATTATAGGATTGTCTCTTTTGAACTTAAAATATAGTGCAACTATTTCAGGTTTCTTCTGGTTTGTGTCAGAATATTTTTTATAATATAATCTTATGTTTTCAGGGTAGGTAAAATCTTGACTATAATATAGGGTGTCCAAAGGTGCGTTTAGCACAGCGCTCTATATGAGACTATTAAAGGAGATATATGCTGATTATAAATATATAATAAAAAATATGAATATATGTATATGATGAGTATGTTGTATTTTGGCGCCATGCCGGGATATAAAATGAATTTTGAGACAAGAGGTGGTTTCGCGGGAAATTTTGGCGGGATTTTTTTCATTTTTTTAATGAATCATAAAGAAAACATCCTCGCTCTTGCAAAAAAATGCAAAGACTGTAAAAAATCTACGAGACATTGGTAAAATGCTTCGGTATGGATGCTCCTAGCTATTCCACTGTAACGTATCATGTTAGGATGTATCACTTCGTGAACAAAAAGACGCCCATCATAAAAATTGACAAAAAATCGCCGGATCAAAGAAAAATCAAAGCAATTCTTCAAGCGCTAGATGAAGACCCAAGAGCATCACTCAGAAGGATAGAGGAGATGACAAAGATACCACGTACAACAGTCAGTTATTATCTGCACAATTATTTGAACTACAAACTAGCGTATACACGTTGGGTTCCGCACAACCTTAATTCAGTTCAAAAAAATCTAGAGTCCAATCTTCGAAAGAGCTCCTCTCTATATTGCGTGCGTATCAATCCAAGAAGTTTCGCTTTTTAGTAACAGGGGATGAGTCTTGGTTTCAATATGCAACAGAAGCCAAAATCATGTGGATCCCGAAGGATGAAGATCCGCAAACATTCCCGAAGAAAAAAATTGACACACCAATGATGATGTTGTCGGTTTTTTGGGGCGTGAATGGCATCATCGCAATTGATATTCTTCAAAAACCTAATACGATGAATGCTCAGTATCTAATTGACAATGTTCTTACTCAAATTATCAATTCTGATGAGTTTGAGAAATCCAAACAACAAAAACAAAAGTTTGCAATTCATTTTGATAATTCAAGAGTTCACAAAAGTCATAAGGTAATGAATTACTTGGTGGAAAACAATGTCAAAGTTGTTCCAAACCCAATTTATTCACCTGATATTGCACCCTCTGACTTTTATTTATTCGGCACGCTAAAAAAGAGAGCTGAAGGACGCGAATTCGCGAGTCCAGATGATCTTGAAAATTTTGTAAGAGAGCAATTTGAGCAATTTTCTCATGATGATTTAAAGCGTGTCTTTCAAGCCCGGATCGATCGCTGCGAACGCGTGATTGAATCCAATGGTGATTATATTTAAATAAACTTTATATATATGTAACTTGTTTATTTCTATTCGCAGTATTCAGGTTTGTGCTAAACACACCTTTGGACACCCTATATTTATTTCTGTCATCTGTATAATAATATACTATTCTCGTTTTTTCTATTGCATTATATCTTTTATATCTATAATAATCTAAATATAATGTTAGCTTTTGTTCATCTACATGTGGTGTTCTGTCGTCACCTCCATAGTCATAATAATGTGGTGCCGGAGCTGGGTCAGGTAATATCATATCCACCATTTCATAAACTCTTAAATATTTCTTTTGTTCGTCTCCATATAAGTTTAAGTAGCAGTTGTTGTCTAATGGAACTTTAACTTGTGTACCATCATTCTTTTTATAGCTTACATACATTTCATTGTTATTTTTCGGAATGAGTTTATACCGTGTACCATTTTCTAAGGACTGTACCAACTGCCATCTAAAATATTTATTTTCTTCATTGACAGAAAAGTCACCAACAATAGTTTCAATATTTTTTGTTCCTATCAAACTTTGGTATATTTCATTGACATATGTTTTATCTGCTTTATTTTCAAGGCTAACGTTTAAGTCTGTTATTTCAGAAGATGTATGTGTATGTCCAACGTCACTTTTCCTGTTTAAGGTTTCTTGTAAGTTTGTAATATTTGCAATGGTATGTGTATGTCCAACGTCACTTTTCCTGTTTAAGGTTTCTTGTAAGTTTGTAATATTTGCAATGGTATGTGTATGTCCAACGTCACTTTTCCTGTTTAAGGTTTCTTGTAAGTTTGTAATATCAGATATAGAATGTGTATGAGTCTTATCTGCTTTTGTCTCTAATGTTTCCTTAAGACTTGGTATTTGGTTAATATAATGTAGTTAGTATACAAGTCTCGTGTACAGAGGCACTGCGAGCCTCCTTACCCATTATATGTGAATTTGACACTTTACAAAACCGTTAACGTATATTTTACAACACAAACGACAACACTAACTTAACCTTAAATATTTATAAAGCCGCCAACCACTTCACCTCACTAACGTTTTCACAAACGACTTCACTACTGTAAAAAATAAACATTCTCACTTACAAAAGTATTGCAACTCTTCCCATTGCTGTGCTTCACACAATACTTCATATTCTTCAGTATCGCTGCTGTCGCTCCAATCGTCAGAGTCAAAGTCACTGTCAAAATAAATGTTAGTAAGTTTTGACAAAGCTAATGAAACACGTTTACCGTTTGTATCGTATGCTTGTATAAACTTTCCATTCTTCATTCCTTCATAAACGCTCAAACTAACTTTACCCTTTCTCCCTCGTATCTGATAGAATGTATTTTCACGAGGAACGAAGAACAAATTCTTGAACTCATGACCGTTGTAGTTTGTTATCTCAATAGTTTTCGTCATTTATATAAAAATAAAATAAAAATAATTTTAAAAATAAAATAAAAAATAAATGATATTACTACCTTCACGCGTATGAAAAACATAGCACAATAAATTTAGTGAAGTGGTGAATCTCACCTCTTTTTTCACCCGGTTTTTTACCCTGTTGAATTCATTGCTTTATAACTCACTGTCGTCTGCTTTCTCCAACTCTTCTAACTTCTTCTTAAGTTCAGCAATGTTGTCCTCATGAAGTTTAATCTTTCTCAAAATTCCTTCTTTATCTAATGGTTGCTTTATCTTTCTAAACTGAACTCTACCATCCTTCATAGTATGAATGTAAAAACCTTCTGGAATAGTTCCTGATTTAATGTATTCTACCAAGAACTTTTGTTTCATTGCTTCAGTTACTTTATTTGTCATTTCAATCAAATAAAAATTTTAATATTAAATAAAAATAACGTTATTTTTTTCAGTAAGGAAACGCAGGAGTTTTACGATTTATTTGAGGAGTAGGTTCTGGTTTAAATGTTGGAGTCGGTTTAGGAGTTGACTTTTGAACAGGAGTTTGTACTTCCATAGGTTCAGGAGTCATTGAAGGTTTTGCTTGTGAAGGCGTTGGTTTTGACGTTGGTTTTGGCGAAGGTGTTGGAGTTTGTTTAACTTCAGCTACTTCAGTATTATTTACAACATTTGCTTTATTTCTTTTCAACATCATAACTGCTCCTGCTGTAGCTAGCAAAACCTAGTGGGAGACCATATCTTATATAAGGACTTGACCAAATGCTATTTTTGACAGGAGCTGGTGGAACACCTAACCTTGGTGAGACTGCTCTTTGCCATTGTGCAGCTCGTAAGAAATATTCAATAGGTGCTCCATAATCGTTTGGTAAAGTTTGTTTCATAGATGGTGAAGGTTCACGAGAGCTTGATGAAGAACTCATTTATAAGCTTTAAAAATAAACGTTCATCCTTTATTCCTCACTGTCGTCCGTAGCTAAGTATAGTCATCTAATCTTATTATGGGATGCCATTAGCACGCACCTGAATGGCAAAGCAACAATCCCTCATAAATCCAATAAGTGGCTTTGGTACATTTTCAGTTGCTAGTTCAATAGGTCCTTTAACAGACAATTTGTATGTTATTGGAAGCAGTAGATGTTTGACCTTGCTGGAGCAAAAGTCCACTTCTGTTGGAAACCACATAAAGAAATGTGTGTTGTCATAGCTATCCCATTTATGTTCCACACTACCATCAGTTAGTATACATATCATGTGTACGGAGGCACTGCGCGCCTCCTTACCCTTGATATGTGAATTTGACACTTTACGAAACCGTTAACGTATATTTTACAACACAAACGACAACACTAACTTAACCTTAAATATTTACAAAGCCACCAACCATTCACCTCACTACGGTAAAAATAAACGTTCCTCACTTACAAAAGTATTGCAACTCCTCCCATTGCTGTGCTTCACATAACAGCTCATAATCTTCTGACTCACTTTCTTCTTCATATAGGTCAAAATCACTGTCAAAATAAATGTTAGTAAGTTTTGACAAAGCTAATGAAACACGTTTACCGTTTGTATCGTATGCTTGTATAAACTTTCCATTCTTCATTCCTTCATAAACGCTCAAACTAACTTTACCCTTTCTCCCTCGTATCTGATAGAATGTATTTTCACGAGGAACGAAGAACAAATTCTTGAACTCATGACCGTGTGTAGTTGTTATCTCAATAGTTTTCGTCATTTATATAAAAATAAAAATAAAATAATTTTAAAAATAAAATAAAAAATAAATGATATTACTACCTTCACGCGTATGAAAACATAGCACAAAAATAAATTTAGGTGAAGTGGTGAAATCTCACCTCTTTTTTCACCTCTTTTTTTCACCCTGTTGAATTCATTGCTTTATAACTCACTGTCGTCTGCTTTCTCCAACTCTTCTAACTTCTTCTTAAGTTCAGCAATGTTGTCCTCATGAAGTTAATCTTTCTAAAAATTCCTTCTTTATCTAATGGTTGTTTTATCTTTCTAAACTGAACTCTACCATCCTTCATAGTATGAATGTAAAAACCTTCTGGAATAGTTCCTGATTTAATGTATTCTACCAAAACTTTTGTTTCATTGCTTCAGTTACTTTATTTGTCATTTCAATCAAATAAAAATTTTAAATATTAAATAAAAATAACGTTATTTTTTCAGTAAGGAAACGCAGGAGTTTTACGATTTATTTGAGGAGTAGGTTCTGGTTTAAATGTTGGAGTCGTTTAGGAGTTGACTTTTGAACAGGAGTTTGTACTTCCATAGGTTCAGGAGTCATTGAAGGTTTTTGCTTGTGAAGGCGTTGGTTTTGACGTTGGTTTTGGCGAAGGTGTTGGAGTTTGTTTAACTTCAGCTACTTCAGTATTATTTACAACATTTGCTTTATTTCTTTTCAAACATCATAACTGCTCCTGCTGTAGCTAGCAAACCTAGTGGGAGACCATATCTTATATAAGGACTTGACCAAATGCTATTTTTGACAGGAGCTGGTGGAACACCTAACCTTGGTGAGACTGCTCTTTGCATTGTGCAGCTCGTAAGAAATATTCAATAGGTGCTCCATAATCGTTTGGTAAAGTTTGTTTCATAGATGGTGAAGTTCACGAGAGCTTGATGAAGAACTCATTTATAAGCTTTAAAAATAAACGTTCATCCTTTATTCCTCACTGTCGTCCGTAGCTAAGTTATAGTCATCTAATCTTATTATGGGGATGCCATTAGCACGCACCTGAATGGCAAAGCAACAATCCCTCATAAATCCAATAAGTGGCTTTGGTACATTTTCAGTTGCTAGTTCAATAGGTCCTTTAACAGACAATTTGTATGTTATTGGAGCAGTAGATGTTTGACCTTGCTGGAAGCAAAAGTCCACTTCTGTTGGAAAACCACATAAGAAATGTGTGTTGTCATAGCTATCCCATTTATGTTCCACACTACCATCATCCACCAATGACCTCATAACATCTTCATTAAATCCTATCATATCATTGTTTGTATTGCAAGCGTTCGCAACCATTTCATAAAATACAGGTCCATATGATTTTTCAGGTTCTGCAGGCATATTTCCATAAGCTCCCATGGAAAGCTGAAGATATTTAAACTTAGGGTTCTCAAAATTAACATAATAGTTGTCTTTCTTTCTAAATAGTACCCAAATACTTTTAACATTAATAGGCGTATAAGCTGCTGTAAATGTTGCACTTGAACTATCTGTATTCTTTGAGAATGAACCGTCCATAGGAATCCAATCCATAACTTTAACAGGAAAACATAAAGCCTCGTTTGTATAATGTTCTACAAGTTCTGTATAAATGTTAGGGTCTAAAGAGAATGATTTTGGATGAATGAAACATTCATTAAAATCCATCTTTGTTCGAAATAGTTTCTGGGTTACAGTTGTAATAGTAACTGTTCCACTAGCTTCTACTGCCTTCGTTATCATAGTGAATGGTTCATTCCATGGAACAAATTTATTTGTCGGTGGATTTGAATCTGAAGCAAATGCAACTTTAAGAGTTGGATTGAAAGCAATGATATCATTTACAGATATAGATGTGCATTGTAAGGCGTCGCTACTGAACTTTACTTTAAGCTGAATGTTACCACCAAATGCAGGAATAAATCTTATAGCTTCTAATGGTAAAAACTTTCTAACAGGAATTCTTAAACGAAGCTTAAAATCAAATGATTTTCCTGCTGTAATTGGACCACTAACAATTTGTCCTGTTCTGCATGTTCCCGAATGACTCCATACATCTTCATGTCGAGTCTTTGAGAAAACATCTACTTTCTTTATTTGTTCGGTAGTTTGTGAGTTTGAAGTTATATATGCTTCTTCTCTTGCGTTGTCTTGAGAATATACGATACGACCATTTGCAAGGATTTGATATCCAGCAACTGCATAGAAAGCGTCATCGAAACCAATCCAAAATCCTGGTGGGTTTGTTTTATTGGAACCTGAACCAATTTCTTTATCTACAATAAATTGACCTTCCATTTTATACGTAATGAATGTATTGTAAAGGTCCAACATATTTTCACCAGGAGGTGAGAGATTGAATGTTACCCATGTGTTATCTTTAGCAGTTCCAGGTTGTGATGGAATCTTTGCGTCAGAATATTTTCTATTAGTGTCACCAATTTGAACTGCATTGTCTATGATATCGAAATATGAGCGAATCTGATGAATATGCTCTGCTGGAGTAAATTCGTTTAACTGTTCGTTCTGCATGTATTTACTTCGGATAAAAATATCTATTTACTTCATTATTCTCACTCTTCTTCTTGGCATTCGTGGTGGAAGTTGTTTCTTGACATTTTCAATGAACTGTACATTCTCTTTTGTCTCAACTTCTTTCACTGGTGGGTCAGGGTTCTTTGACTCGGTTTGTTTTTCAATGAAATTCACGAACTTTGCAATAAGCTCTTGGTTCGTTATTGAAAGTACATCTGGCTTCTTTTCTTCTTGTTCTATTGACTTTTCAGTTTGAATAGAAGGTTTTATATGGGCTTCGCCCTCGGTGCCATACACCTTAATGTTGTCGCTTTCTGCATTCGCTAATGGAACCTTTCTTTTTCTTACGTATATTTTACCATCTTTACTCTGACTTACGTAATAGAAAGGATGTTGTATTCCTCTTGCGTCATTTAATATAATAGACTCTCGCTCTGATTTTGACAAGCTCATTTTACATCGGTTAAAGTTTTAATTTTGTTTTTTATCTGCAGTCAAATGACTCAGACAAACCCTACGGACAAGACCCAAGGGGTCATAGATGTTGAAGCATTGAAGAAAGAAATTCGCGAGCAAATTTTATCCGAACTGAAGGAACAAAAACAAGAACAAAAGCCAGAGAGACCAAAGAGAAAACTTAGTGAAAAACAACTAGCTGCATTAGCTGCTGGAAGACAAAAGAACCCACGTTTGCTGGCAAAGAAAGCTAGAGAAGAAGCAAAAGCAAAAGCTAAAGAAGCTGAAGCAAAGAAAGAGTAAATGGTTTATTTTTATCCGAATTAAATGTATAGACAAATACCTTTAACTGTTGCGTTCAGTAGTGAAAACCCTGACGTCAAAATAAAGGGGAAAAGAGTAACGTTTAAGTTTCCAACAGACTGGATTGTGAACATAAATGAAGAGAAGTACATTGGCATAACATCTATGTATATAACACGTGCTTTCAGAAAGGTTGACTTTATACTTCAAGTCGAGATAGAAAATGACGAACAGTCTTTAAGCGCCCAAAACATTCACATATACAAATACTTTAAAGACGATACAACATTGTTGCAATGTATGATTTCATTTAATGAGATGTTCGAGAAAAAGTTCAACATTGAAGTACAAACTTTACAGCCTTTACGTGAGTTTCTTGCACAACTGAAAGAAGAAGGTAGTCAGCCACAACTTATAGACTTTCATTATGAATTTAATGAAATGAAGATGGAACTCATGACTGTCAGTTTGTTATATATTCACCATTCAATGAAGTAGCTAAAGAGAAAGAAAATCCATTACGTATAAGATTTCAAATCTCTGAATCCAATGAAGACTTCATGTTTTCATTATATGCAATGCTTCCGAGGAAAAATGAATTTTCAAAGATTGTAACACCTGGCATTTGGGATAGAAAGCAAGCTATATTATATTCAAACTTAAGTAAGGGAGTTGAAAATGAGTTCATTGGTCATACAAGAACTTCACCACTTCCTAACCCTAAATACTATAAATTAACTGGCTTCAATCGTGAGTTTTGGATAGACATGTTCTCCACTCATGACCATAACTGCCCAGTGTTCTTACCTCCAGACCATAAGGACTGTCTCTACATTGAAGCACAACTCTTAAACTCTACCATCGCAGTATTGTAAATGACCACATGGGCTTCGCCTTGCCGCTAGCGGCTTATTTTTATCACGAATGACCTCATTGCTGACAAAAATAAATGACCTTATTATTTTTCTCATTCATGACCTCAGAACTTAAGCTTTCTTATGAATGAAGTCTTAGTCTGAATAGAAAAGTTAAACTTTTCAGCAAAGCAAGGACTAGAAGACTTACATAAGTCAAATCCAATCTCTTGACCGTCATAAAGTGCTTTGTAAAGTTTCATTAAACTGAACTCATAGTCTTTGTCATATGTTCCAACAGGTATGTGAATGTTCTTATCTTCATTGTAATAGCATTGTATAGCTTCAGGAAACATTTCATTAGCTGTTAAAGCAAGGACGTCTTGTTTGACACCTTTGCAACGTGCATGGAATGCAACTTCATTTAAATCGTTAGTGAGTAAGTCTATGTAGGTCTTCTTTCCACAAAATATTGACTTGTATGCTAAACTTTGTTTTCCAGGTGTTATTTCTGCAAAGTCGCTATGAAATTGACCAAGGTTCTTTCCTATAAGTTCGCGACCGTATCTCTTCTTAAACTCTGCTGTAAGCTTTGGGATGTCTTCATTGAAAATATGCATGCTATCACAGTCCTGGTAAAATATTTGAAGACCCATATCTTCAGCAGTACAGAATACTTCACACATTATTCTCTTCGACATAGACAGAATGTTAACACCAAGTGGACAGAAGTTAAAGTGTCTGCAAATGCTTTTCGTTAGCTTGAAAATAGTTTTATCTGAACCATCCAAACCTTCGAACTTCACTATATGGTTGTAGTTTCTGATGGCATATCTTATAGCATCTTTGTCATTTACTATGGTTATTTTTGACTCAATAGGAGATAGAATAGTTTTGCCATAAATACTGTTCAGAATGAGCTTTATATTTTCTTGCAAAGGATTTCCTTCTTTCTTATACTTTAACCTTAACTCAAACAACTTCTTTACTTCATCTCTTATTCTAATATCTCTGTTTCCATCGTAATAGTATCCTTGCAACACTTCACATTTGACACCTTGATATTTTATGAGGTCTTGTAATGTTATATGGTCAACATACATTAAACAGCAAGTGTTTGAACTTCTGGGAACGTTAAGTTCTGGATTTAGTTCAGGGTCACAAACTATTAAAGGAAAGTGTCTATGTATTCCAATCTCTGTTATCTTAATGAGAACAAAGAAGCCGGACATAAACTTTTCACCAATGGGTTCCTTTTGGTCGTCATCGAATAAATGTCTCATGAGATACTCTGTGCTTAACATCTCATCCTTCATAACCTTTGGAATACCTTCTAAAGTATAAAGTCTTGCTATAGCGGATGGATATAATGAAACAGCGTCGAAATCAGCAATGAGTTTCTTTTCGCTCTTTTGTTTCATGTTATCTGACAACATACATCTTCCACCTTGAATACAGCGTGAAATAAATTCTCTTGGTTTATTTGAGAGGTCATATAAATTTCCATTCGGGAAGTACACTCTGTTCTCAAATAATTTGTTAGCAATTGAACAAATACTAACGTAGTCATAAACGTTTAAATCAAACTCTTTCAATATGTCATTGCGGAACTTAACAAAACCTTCTCTTAAAATTCTTACATCTTGTTTGCAATAAAATGAGCTATATTTTTCTAAGTCGAAGTGGTTCTCATCTATTCTGCAACCTTTGATGGAATCTATGTTTTTCATGAATGTATCTGCATCCCGGATAAACTTACATGCTTCAGAAATGACACCAGTTCTGTTGTCATTTGCTAACAAAACACTGCTGTAGTAGTTGTATGGAAATACTTCTTTCGGTCCTGTTTGTAAGTTAAACATAGCAGGAAATAGTTTAAGCTTCTTATTTATAACACTGTAAGAGTCTTTTATAATAATTGCCCGTCCTTTATATAAGCCAGTTATTTGCATTGTTCGTGAACCTTTAATGATGGGAGTTCCTTTCACTTCTGTCATGTGTCTTAAGATGAAGTTTATATCATAACTGAGGTTATGGAAATATATTAAACTCTTGTCAGGAAGTCGCTCCAAAAATTCTGTTGCACAGTTCTGACCCCAAATGCTTTCACTCACTGAACCATCTTCACTGTCATAACAGATGTTAAAAGCTTTATGAAAGCCATCGGTACTGCACTCAAAGTCAGCAAAGAAAACGTGCTCAGGAATGAACTTGCACTTATTTTTATTTACTTCTTTTGACTCGGCTTTCTTCTTCAGTTGTACACAATACTTTGGAGCATATGTCAAATCTTTAAATGGTGCAAGGTTCTGTTTATATAAGTCAGTAGTATATGTGAAAAGTTCTCCATAAGAAATAGGTTCGAAATATTTGCACTCCCACAATGTTTTCATAACATCCCATAACGGTGTTGTTCTATCCATGCGAACAATGTATTTACCATCTCTCATTGTATATATTTTCATCTGTTTTTCAATGTTCATTCCACCACAAGCTTTGAGAATTTCTATATAGTTGCGAATGAAATATGTTGTCATTGGAAGTCTTTCATTTAGCATGTAGTGGTCTTCAACAAGAAGTAAGTCAATAGTTCTAACAGTTTCACATTCTTTTGGTATGTATCTCTTTATTTCATTATGTCTTGAGTCATTGAAATAACCAATGGTAACATTAAATGCTATACCTGTTGCGTCAGAAATTTCTTGTACTTTACTTTGAGGAAAGTCTCTAACACGAATGACTTCTCTCATGTGGTCAATAGTTTCTTCATCTACTCCAGCCTGAATGCAAGCATAAACGAAACAATTGTCTTCTGTCATAAGTGCTGCAGTTCTTTTGTTCAATTCATTGAAAATTTGGTAGCGCTCAAGATTTATAGGTAATGTGCAAAGATACTTCCAGAACTGACCGCTTCTCTTCTTATAAAACTTCTTTTCACCAAGGATTTCATTCCAGAAGTCATCTATATCTTGTTTATCTCCTGTTTGTTTAAGTCTGTTCAATAATCTTTTCTGTCTTTCTGTCAGTGTGCTTTCATCTCTATATGGTCGCTTCTGTGGCTTTCCTTTCTTAACATCTGACATCGTTAAGCCTTCATATTCTGTTAAATCATACATCTTTATTTCAGTAAGATTCTTTATGTTTGTCAAGAAGAAGTCATAGTGCATTTCAACAATACCTGCAGCATTTGCTTCTATCTCTGATATAAAGTTCTCCTTCAAGAGCTGATGTAGTAATGTTCCAATATTATTGAGGTTTAACGTAGAACATTCATACTTTCCACCAAGTTTATAACATACCATCCATCTCTGTTGGGAGTTTATTTTAATCTTCTCTAAGAGTCTCATGAAAACCTTACCGAAATGTTTGTGTAAATATTCTCTGTTTGGTTCATCTAAAGCTTCGATGTTAAAGTCAATGAGTCTATTGCCTGACTTCACATTTCTCTTCCTATTCTCTTCATCTTTCTTTAACCATCTCTCACCTTCTTTTGGTTTGTCGTCAATGGAACGAATGACATCGTTAGCTTTACGAACTTGTTCTATAGCACTTTTAAACATCTCTCTTCTCTGTTGTTTCAGTGTGTCGTCTCTTCTTCTTGTTTCACCAACGTTTGCATTTGTTATGTCAAACATTTCTCTTCTTACTTCATGAGGTACTGAACGTCTATGATATAAGTCAATAGCAATGTCATTTAAAGGAAATGCTATTGCATGAACTTCGTCCTCGCCGCGTTGCGGCTTTATGAACTCATGAATTCTATCATAACTTATTGCACCATTATAGTCATTGAGGATGTCAGCGAGTGCCTTTTTGTTTGTTGCGTAATGCTTTGCAACATCTATATTAGCTTCTGTAAGAAGTTGTTTTATTTCCGAGTGTTCTAACTTAGACAACTTCCGATACATCTTTAGTAGGAAATAAAAAAATATTTTTTGAAAAAATTAGATTAGATTTTTAAAAAATATTTCACTCAATAAATTTTATGTTCACATATGCAGCCTCAGAAGTTCGAATAAGATATTTTACAAAATCTTTATATAAAGCCTTTTCATTTATTCTGTGAAATCCGTCAGAAGTTTCATCTAAGTATATTTCTATTGATTGTGGAATTTTCTTTGATTTCTTCACTTTTATAAGAGGTTTTATATTTTGCAAGAATATATCCTTGGAATCTGGTCGATAACCGTTTTTTCTACAAAATTGTATATATTCTTTATATGTAGCCCTGTCATTTATTTTTACTTCTATATATGGAAATAGTGAGGGTTGTAAATAATAGACATCTAAATTGAAAAAGCTTCTTTCTGTCATCTTTTCTATCAGATAAAAAATATTTTTTGAAAAAATTAGATTAGATTTTTTAAGTTATTTTTCAAAATAATTTAATATTTTTATTTTAATGAAACACATGCAAGATTGCAAGTTCTTTTCATACAATGCTCTCGCTACTGCCATCAAGAATGAGTTCAGTAATGCTGCAAATGTTAATGTTATCTTTAACAAGAAGTTTGTGAAAGAATCTAAGTTTGGTCAGTATGTCAGACCATTAGCTATCGTCATTGACCGCAAACGTTATACTTCACAAGAGTTAGCAGTAGTTTTGAAACAAAAGAGTTTCTTCGTGAATGTCAAAGATACTCATTATACTGTCATAAAGAACTCTAACATTGACTTCTTCAGTATTGCTTTAAATCTTTCCGAACAGAAAGAATATAAGAAGGGTGAAACAAATGTGAAATATTATCCTTCATCTCTGAAGACAATAACGAACAAAGATGTTATACAGAAATTCTTACCAAAGGTTGAAAAAGCTTCTATTGACATTGACGAAGGAAGTGAAATGGTTGAAGAAATAGACCCTGAAGCTATTTAAGCAAAAATATATTTTTGGTTAGTCTTCATATCGATATTTTACAACAATTCCCCAATGTATAAACTTTTCATACGCTTTTTCATAAGCTTTATATACCTTCAGAAATTTTGCATAATCTTTAGAAGCATTTAGATATTGTTTAAATGCTTTGTATGTCTTCAGAAATTTTGCATAATCTTTTACATGTTGTTCGTTCTCTTCTTCTGTCATGAGTTCCGAATATTCTAAATTCATGTTCTTTCATATGAGATAAAATTTTATAAAAAAATAAAATTAGCTTAGATTTTTTTATTCTTCCTCTTTGAAGTTGTCGAAATATTCTGTTATCTTTTCCTTCAGTAATGTTAAGTCTTCTTTGAATGTAAGTATTGTGCAACCTTTGATGTCATAGTGTGTTTGAGGAAGAGTATTTTTGACAATTTCCTTTATTTGCTCATTCGGTGTCATTGAAATCGGTAAGTTTTCACGATAGAACCAGTTTCTGTCAGATTTATATATTTTAGCTAAGTCGTAAAAGCTTTTGTTGTTTCTTCTGACTAAATGCAACATAACCATATCTCTATCTTCTTCTTTCTCCAACTCTTCAGCGTAAATCATATACTTATAACTCTTTTCCTTTCCTTTTGGTACTGAACGTGGTATTCTTTTCTGTATGCTTTTGTCTTTGGATTCAATGACTTCATCTTTTGCTTGAAGCTTCTTTTCCATCTCTCCACGTTCTGCTTTATATAGTTCATCTAACATCATGAAAATATAACAAGCATAACGAGGTGAAGCCCACATTGCTACAGCATTTACTAAAAGTCTATGAACATAATAACCTTTCAAACCAGGAGCCAAATTCTTGCGATTTTCGAATGGAATCTCTTCTCTCGGTTTTCCGAGGGAAGCAATCATATGAGGAAATTCTTCTAAAAGTTCTTTTGCCTGTTGGTTTTCAAACCAATGATATGCTTGCTTTGTAGAACGAAGAGCATTCATTATACTTTGCATTTGGTACATGTCATCTTTGACTGAACGAATGAGTCTCAATTGTTTGTTATACTGTATGTATTCGTATTCTTCATTTATGGCTTCATGAACGATAGCAGTTGTTGTGTTCTCTGATGTTGACATTACTGTCTTTACATACAAAATAAAAAAATAAATAAAAATAAAATTAGCCTTTTTTACATTATGACACGAAGTGAAGATTTGCACTTCGTCAAATTTTATTAAAAATTAGCCTTTTTTTTACATTATGACACGAAGTGAAGATTTGCACTTCGTCAAATTTTATTAAAAATTAGCCTTTTTTTACATGTATTTTTCAGCAACTTCGTCAAATTTTATTAAAAATTAGCCTTTTTTTTACATTATGACACGAAGTGAAGATTTGCACTTCGTCAAATTTTATTAAAAATTAGCCTTTTTTTACATGTATTTTTCAGCAACTTCGTCAAATAATTTTATAGCTTTATCTATCTCATCTACTTCAAACGTTTCTTTACCTTTTATGGGAGCACCATACATTTTCTCAAACTTTTCGAGTAGTTCTGTTTCTGCGGCTCTCATATCATTAACGAACACAACCTTGACTCTATTGACTGTAGAGTCATATCTTTGAGTTATATTATATGTCCTTCCTATCTTATATCTTTTTGTGTTGAAGTCCTTCGGTTTCTGAACGATGTAAAGTAAGCCTTCACTGCAACGTTCCGTATCGAATGAACCATAAGTTATGAAGTTATATCCAACAACTGGGTCAATCCATAACAAAATTATTGGTATAAGACTTTTGTCGATGAGATATGCTGTAGTTCCATAGAATCTTACTGATATCATAAGCTCAGGATTTCTTGTCAAAATTTTCTGAGTTGAAGCATTTCTAACCCAGTGGTTTGTTTTCTTTTCAGATGGTGTCAGAATGTCTGACAAAGAATATTTGTTGTATTTCTTTGAGTATCTTACGTTTAAATCACCGATTCTAACCACTTTGGTGTCATTGTCAATCTTTCTAACTGTTTCAAACTCAATGTTTGACATTACTGTCTTTACATACAAAATAAAAAAATAAATAAAAATAAAATTAGCGTTATTTTTCGAACTAATGAAATTCATGAAATTTGGTCATTTTTCAGTAAAAATATATTTTAGGTGAAGTGGTGAGATCTCACCTCTTTTTTCACCTCTTTTCTCACCTCTTTTTTCACAAGCGTTTTACATGAATTGTACGATGTATATTTGAAATCCTAAACAGTTTTGTAGCTTCTATTTCTTCTTTTAGTACATCGAATGTTTTAACAATGCCGAAAGTCTCTTTATATTTCTTCTTGACGTCAGACAGAAGGAAATCTTCTGCTGTTGGATAATTTTTATTAAGAAATGTCAACATGTCCATTTTATCTTCTGCTGGCTTTTCTGCTTCTTTCTTTAAGTCTGCATAGTCGTTTCGCATTCTTTCTATCTCTTTGACTGAGTAGTTATATTTTCTTATTGCTGCTTTACATTTAGAACATTGCGGGTTCATTTTTGCGTTATACATTGAAATTTGACCTGCTAGAACAACTAAGGCGTCAATTGCTCTCTTCATCTCAAACATAGCGGGTCTTAGTTGTTCATTCCATACTTTGCCTCTTCTATCTTTATCTCTTATTTCCCAAACACATTCAGCAACTAATGAAACAAAGTTATCGTAGGTCTTAAATTCTTCGGATTTGTAAAGGTCAGAAATATTTTTATAAACCATGTCGCAATCTTTGTCCATAACCTTATGGTTGCAATGAAAACCAAGGAATTCATAATTTACTTTACGTATGAATTTCTTAATTTCTACTGAGTCAGTTGTTTTGACTTCAATTTCGTCGAATTCAGGAATAGTTAGTTTTTGATGCTGAATTTCAGGTAGTTTAGGTAAATGGTCGATGAGGTCCTCCATTTCATAAAGATACTGTTCATTTGTTTCATCTTTCGCACTACAGTCTAAATTACTTGTTAAAAGTTCTTGCTTTATCTTCTGGATTTCTGTTTCAAAAGTATATGAAGGAGGAATAAAGCTTTTCATCTCTACCAACATTGACGTAGGATTCATGACTAGCGAGTTTGGTGCTGTAGTTGTTTGAATTGTTGTTGTGCCGATTGTTGAAATCATATCTTTTATACAAAATAAAAAAAATAAATAAAAATAAAACTAACTTTATTTTTTCTATCTTAAGGAAATTCATGAAAATTCAAGAGGTGAAAAAAGAGGTGAAAAAACAGGTGAGATCTCACCTCTTCACCTAAATTATATTTTTTGGTGTAAATTTATGACAAAAATAAATGGTACCATTAATGATATCATGACTGTTCTCATTCATGTCTGATTTACATCTAATGAAAAAGTTTAGAAGAATTTTCTTATTCTTTCTGGCATGTTTTTGTCTTTCCAATACTCCCGCTCTAATGGTCCCAGATGTGTTGGCTTTGACTCTCTCAAGTTCTTAGATGGTATAACATCTTCAACGCCTCCTTCATATCTTACTTTATAAGTGTCATCGTTTATGTTGTAGCCAAGTATTTCAATAACCACTCCTCGCTTTGCTTCGTCAATGGTTTCAGCAAGTTTGCCATTACTACTTTCGACTAATTTATGACGAGGATAAAATGCTATGGAGTCGTCAGCAGCTTTTATAAGATATCCATTACCTTGCGTAGAGTCTACGATATAATAATTTCGACTTAACCTTAAACGTTTCTTTGTCAACGGTTTGTCGTCAAGAACTACACGAACTTTTGTACCAGGAATGAGGGTAAATTGTGTTGAATTTCTGATATTTTGTGTTTGGCTTCGTTTCTTTTGTATATACTTTTCTTCTTGTTGTTGTGTCATTGAATTTGGTGTATGTCCTGTTGTAGAATGTGTTGAGGAATTGTAAACTTCGATGAAATGTTTCATTGTTTCTTCGGTAAAGTCTCGCTCTTGGTTTAAATCTCTGAGCGTTCTTATGAAGCGGTTTATGATGCCGAGTATGTTATGGTTATGGTCTTCAGTAGTGTAGTGAGTTATGTTATGCTTAATGAGAAAATCTGTGATTTCATTGCTGAGGTATGCACTGTCTTGGTCTGATGTTAAAGTACTTGGGCTATGTTCTGCTACAAACTTTTGTAAAACTCTTAACACTTCACGAGTTCCTTTATTTTTCATTGGATATGCATATGCTTTACGAGTGTTAACATTAATGAAGATGAGGAATGGTTTATGTCCTCCTTTTCTGCTTTGAATGAGAGTGTCAAATTGGTATGCGTCAGGAGTGTTGGAGTAAATTGGTAAAAAGTAGTCGTAAGGATTTATTTTTGTTTGATGTACAACATTTTTGTCAAAGAACCTTTTCACTTCAGCTCTGTTAGTAAATCCCCAACTCTTTGCAGCTTCATTGAATTTCTTAAAAGACCTCCATGGATGTTGTTCGAATACTTCTTTCAAGCTCATTTATGTAAAATTAAAGATTTTATTCTAGGCTCAAGCGCGTTCATTGAACGCGGTACCATGTGAATACAGTCATAAATGGTGGCATATAATCTGCACCCGAGCCTGTTGGATTTGTTGTGAAAGTATGGACATGATTTCCTCCTGGTTCAGTTGGTCGAAAAGTCTTTTTTGCTGAATTGTTATAAGATGGAGATAAAACGTCATTGCCAGCTTTATATTCTGAGTTGTATAATGGATGGTCTCTTAATGAGTGGCTATGGTCGCCAGAAAAGTTTGTAGTTCCTGTATGAGTGTGCGCAGGTAAGTTTGCTTCAGTAATTTTCTTCGAACCCCCTGTTTGCTTTGAAGAGTTAGCACAGTATAAGAATTTGTCTACAATCTGTTCCCAAGTACCAAAACCTAAAACTGTTTCTGGATTTGTTGAATTCATTGACGTATAAATAGAACCTATAGGATATAATGTTTGAAGTATTTCTGTCTTTAATGTTTGAAGCTCTGTTTTGTCAGCTTTCTTATCTAACATTGTTGGTAGTTCATATGCTTCAAAGTTTCTGGCATGATCTTCGATATTCCTGCAACTCTTATCTAAATTGTTAAGAGTATCTTTTACGCTTGTACTTGGATTTTCTAATGGTGCACTTGAACCAAGGTCAAAGTTCAATATTATGTCGTCTGCTCTAACAGTAGTGAAGGATTTATGTGTATGGTTCTTGTCAGCTTTCTTATCTAACATTGCTGGTAGTTCATATGCTTCAAAGTTTCTGGCATGATCTTCGATATTCCTGCAACTCTTATCTAAATTGTTAAGAGTATCTTTTACGCTTGTACTTGGATTTTCTAATGGTGCACTTGAACCAAGGTCAAAGTTCAATATTATGTCGTCTGCTCTAACAGTAGTGAAGGATTTATGTGTATGGTTCTTGTCGGCTTTACTGTCTAATGTAGCTTGAAGTTCATTTATATCGGAGATGTTGTGTTTATGAGATTTCAAAACTTTGTTCGTTGCTTCAAGTTCAACTTTGTCAGCTTTACTTTTAATAGCATCTTCAAACGTTATTTTTGACTTAACTCTCAAAGTAAATCTTGGTTCAACTAATACACCGTTAACATTGAAAGTAGAGGCATAAATTTCACCGGTATAACCAAATGCTTCTGGTGCTTTAGCTACATCATACTGTACAGTACAGCTTATGTCATAACCTTTAGCACGAATGTATTTATATCTTCTTTCATTAACATTTTTTGTCTTCGCTTCATCACTTCGTGTTAAATATCCATGGTAGTCCGTTATAATCTGTTCGTCTGAAGTTATATAATGAACGTGGTTCTTGTCCGCTTTACTATTTAATGTAGCTTGAAGTTCATTTATATCGGAGATATTGTGTTTATGTTCTTTATCTGCTTTTTCGGCTAATTTCTCTTCTATCTCATTTATTTCAAGTTCATGCCTACCACCACCTCCCGAAGAAGTATTTTTCTTCAGCTCTTGAAGAACGTCCACTTCGCCATCTTTGGTGTCAATAATGAGACTTTGAGTTAAAACCTTTCCTGTCTTAATGGATGTTTGTAAAACTTCTTCTTCACCGTGTTCGGGGTCATGGTCGTCATCATATCTTGTGAAATCAGAGATGTTGTCATACATTAAGCATATCTGTCTCAAAAGTTCTGCTATTTGAAACTGGAACGAAAGATATACAGAACTTTCATCATCTCCTAAAGTCAAGTCTGCTTTCTTAAGTATTTCTTGAATGTATGCAATGAGAACAGAGTACCTTGGAAAATATTCGAACAATATTTCATTAGCTGTTGGTTTTGGTGGTTCTTCTGGAGTTTCTGTTGTTTCAGTTCCTTCTGGAGTTTCTGTTGGAGTTTCTGCATTTCTTGACTTCAATGCTCTTGCTCTCAAAGACCTAAATGTTAGAGCACCGGGTTTTACAAAGGACTTTATAAATGCTTTAATAGTTCCTGGTAAGTTATTGTTAGCATTAAGTAAGTTCCTTATGCTTCCATCATGTACGTCCATAGCACTATGTAAAAAATCTATACTTTTCTTGTAGTCAGCAATAGACTGACTGTGATTTTTTAAAGATTTGTCAATACCTTTAAGCCAATCTTCATGCATGTCTGATACTGAGCCAAGAATATCATTTGCTTCCTTTAGTGTATTTTGTGCTTCTCGTAAAGTATCCAATCCCGTACGTGCATTGTTTGCTATACGTCTTACAGTATCTATTTGACTCCTTGTTTCTTGCATCCAACCAGATAAAGTTTTAATAGTATCCGAACCATTTGAAATGAAGTTCAAAGCATTTTTAACGTCATCTAAAACTTCTTCACCAAGTACTGCCCATATCTTTCCGATTTGGTATTGAAGAACTCCATATGAAGCAGCTGTTAAACCAGTATTTATAAGGTCCCATATCCATGATTTAGCAGTTTTTCCATCCTTTCCATCCTTTCCATCCAAACCGTTTTCGCCTTGAGGTCCTTGAATTCCTTGTATTCCTTGTGGTCCTTGTGGTCCAGTGTCACCCTTCTCTCCTTTCAGTTCATCTTTATGTTCGTTATAATATTCTAATGTCATAAGGTGTACATCATTACTGCTACCAGCAACGCCGAGAATTTGTTTCTCATTCATGACTAAATTCTTTAGGCATTTAATGTTGTCGTCAAATCGAAAGCTCTTTAACAATTCAATAAGAACATTCAGTACTTTCACTAATGAGGCATCTACTGTAGAATTTATATATTGCACCGTTCCATCATTTATGATGGGAACCTTGCTTGTTGTAATGAATGGGTCATAAGTGTTAAAAGTATCGAAATCAATGACTTTTTTAGTTTTTCCATCGTCAATGACTAAATCATTGCCTTCAATGGTTAAAGTTGAGTTTTCGTTTACTAGTTCATGTGCTCTTCTTGCTTCATTTGTTTCATACGCATATGCAGCAATAGTCATATTTTAATGAGAATAAAATGTTGTTCTATTTGCAAAGTACAGACCCAAACGAATACGGGACAGTAAAGCTTCAAACAAACTTAGGTCTTCAGAATGAAGCACTTGCTTTCAGAGTTGTTGACTTCAATACTATCGCAACTTTTGTCATAACTGACGAAACAGATTTCATAGAGATTGAAATAGATGACAAAAGAAGTTTTATAACATTTCCTAACAGAGCAGAGTATAGAATAGATAAAATTGCTGGAGTCATAGATACTCTCATAAATGAAGAAACTATTGACAACATAGATGTCGAACTCTCTTCTGAGGGAACATTGAAGTTCAGCAGCGAGAAAGAGTTTAAGATAACACGAATGAGTCATAGAGTACAACTTCTTTTGGGTGCATACCATATGACATTTCCTTTGAAAAGTGTTGACAAAACGATTGAGATGAAATCTGTTCCATACGTATGTTATGGCAATTGTTTGTACATTGAGTCAAAAATAGCTAATGTCACAGGTATTTCAGGAGTTAATAGTAAAGGTTCAGTAGAATATAAATCCTTCTGTTATGAAGTAAATTCAATGTTCATTCCAAACGTTCCTGTCATAGCAACTCATTTAGGTAAATGGGTTCGCATTAGTCCTCATAATTTGAAAGACATGCAATTCAGACTTGTTGACTTTCAAGGAGAGCCTGTAGAACTGAAGGCACCAGTGCGAATGACTGTTGAAGTTGACTTTTTAGAAAATATTAAATGCAACAGCTTACAAGAGAACTCAGAGCTAAAAATATAAAGTATGAATGTTATGTATTAGGTCATGAACTTTGGTTGTTGCTGTTTGATGAAACAAATGAGTTAGTTATGTCAGTCAAGAGAACAGAAAAATATTGTGTTAGTGAAAACTGCACCAAGTCAATAAGATTAGGTTTGCATTATGAAGATGAGTTCGATACTGTTGAAGAAGTTTTGGATAGATATTACAAATTGCTTTAATTTACTAAAACATATTTCAAACAAAGCTTATAGTAAGTAGATAGTTTTGTATACTCGTTCGAATATTTATACTTAAACTCAACTCCTGTAGTTCCTGGTGTTTCAATGATGCGGATGTTACCTATTTTCATAATATTGGCGTTTGACCACAGCATTCGATTTCAGGGTCGAGATAGTCAATGACACATTGCTTTCCTGTTATTCGTGATATAACATTTTCAAGGTCCTCCTTTGTTAGAATTATTTGGTTCTCTTATTATAAGATTTACCAAAAGCTTCTTATCGTCTTTGAGTAAAATTGTTTGGTATAACTGAAGAAGGTAATGGTCTACGTTATCTGAAGGATTTGTTTGAACATTTGTGTAAGGGTTGTCGTTGGCTTCTCTTGAAAGAATTTGGTCCAGTGGTGGATACTCTAACTTAACATCTGATGTAGCGTTTGCGTTGAAGCTGAGTTTAAATTCACGGATTTCAGCTCTGGTTCTGGTTCTTTCAAACACTCTGAACTATAGTTCTTTATGACAATATTGTTTGTCGTTCGTGAGTCAACATTTGATGTTGGTTCAATTGGAACATTAACGGCACCAGCTAAGATGGATTTGCTTCTCATTTCATATAGAATAAAAACCTTTTATATGTATGAAATGAACAATATACTCGACAAGGGTTTGAATGTAAAGCTAACGAATGAAAATATTGTTGAATTCACTGAGACAGGAGCTGTGTATAAAGATGTAGAACTACTGAACAAAAGAGCTAAGGGAAGAAGCAGGAACATGAACAAAGGGTGGAAGCCTATAAAAATTTATGTCAATGATGGCTCAGGAGGTTCAAACATAAAGTATGCAGAAAGTTATAGAGTTTATGCTCTCAAAGGTGAAAAGCCTTCATTTAAGAACAGCTATTCTAACGCATATCCTCAAAAGCTAACGGATGGAGAAGTGATGATATGAATGACAGCAAAAATATTAACAGAAATGGCGACAGAGATGCATGGAATTTGTTTACCATCAGTCAATTGAAGGTTAAACTTTAAAACAATGTTGGTCGTTCCCATGGAATATTTTTGACTTTAATGGTATTAGTCATGATATGAATCTCAAGGTATGAACGAGGAGAGATGAGAGACTTATATGCTTCCCAAATTTCTTCAAAAGGTAATGTTATACCTGACTGTTTCCAAATGAGTTCAATATCATAGCGTGAGAAACCTTGAAAGATAACGAAGTCAGTTATGAGACGTTTTATGTTTAAAGCTAAAAACCTCCATGTTTGCATAAGTATTGCTACAGTTAAGTGGTAATGTCTGACTTTAGTTATGATGTTAGCTAATGGTGAGTCAGGCTTTGACACTAAACCTTTTCCGGCGAAGTCGTCACAAACGAGCAGAGTGTTTGAAGGATATTTTTTGAAGGGGTATTTTGAAAGTTTTGATAGAATGTAGTTTGTAAGTCGTTTCATATCGTAAACTCCTGAGTATTGACGTAAGTGGTGTTTGTCAATAATTCTTTCCATCTCCTCAGAAGTCTTTTGCATTCCTGACTGTATAAATTCAACGATGGCATAATATTTCCTCTTACGTCGAATGTAACGTTGAAGAAATTCAATGAGTTCACTGTCTGGAACTTTAACGACAGATGCTTGAACTTTTGACATAAATGTTTTCGCTGTTGAGTCCATAGAGTCTGAAGTTGCTGATATAATGATTTGGTCATAATATGAGTCATTTCCTAAACGTTCTGTTATGAGTATATGACGAATGAGGTTAAATGTCTTACCCGAACCCATCTTTCCACAATAGAAATAAACACCATTTGAACAGAACTCATAATCTTTGCTGAAAGGAAGAATAAGAGAAGAGTTAAGTTTGTCTGTAGTTTCATTCATGTCTTCATCTACGTCATGTATTAAATGCTTCATTTTATCTCCATTAAAAATGCAAGTCAGAAATATTCAGAACATAGCACCGAGTCTAACTGACAAGAGTATAAAGATATACTATGAACACGTTATGATGAAACCAACCAAAATTCAAGAAAGTCAGTATACTTATGAATATCCAAGACACTGGGTAGAGTATGTAGGAGGTGAGAAAGCTATTGAAATCAGACAGGTTCGAAGTATTCCAGCAGGAAGAACAATATTATTGAAGAACTTTAATGTTTTGAGATATAATGATGAAACAAAGAAGCAAGATAGTTTTCCTGTTGCTGTGTATGTGAACTTAGATACAGGAGATGACATGAAAGTTTTTAATACAAAGCTTCAAACGGTAGTGAGAGAACAACTGACTGCGGAAGGACATCCATTACCTTCAGAAGTTACCATAGCATATAATTTTGAAACAAACTCAATAGATTTTAAAGTCATCTCTGCAAAGAAGTCAGGTTTTACATTTAATGAAGCAGATGTATATTCGAATGAAAACTTCAAAGCTATTGCATGGTTAGATAATGACGATTGCTTTAAGAAAATATTTAAATACAGTGACTCAACGATGTCAATAGATGACCTTCGTGGAATGTTACCATCGACGTTTACAGTAGAAGGTTCAGCAGGATTGCTTACAAGATTGTCAATTGGTGGTATTTGGTCTCGTGAGAACATTGTTATAAAATCCAGTATAAGTGAATTTGCTGAAGAATCTATATTATGTCTTTCAAACTACATGTATTCGCCGCCGAAGCATTATAGTATAACAAACTTTGTCAGTAAGTTTAACATAAGACTTGTCGAACCTTCTTCAATGAAAGATGTTGTGCTACCTAAAGATGGAAAGGATGGACTCATTATTGAGATGATTTTAATAGCATATTAAATGAGCTTGTTCTTGAAGGTCATTCATGATGAAATAACTGTTGTAGAAGATGTTAGCAATTGTTCAGACATTTTGAAGCGTATAGATGATATAAGAAAGAAGTTAGATAGACCGCAAAGCGGTGAGGGCGAAGCCCGTGAGAATGTTTATGTTTCATTGACTTTCTCCAGTAACGAGAACTTTTATGAGATAATATTGAAGAGAGATGATTTTAATATGGTGTAAATGGTAGCTTGGGCAGCTTTAGGCGCAATGGGAACAAAAGCATTAGCATTTGGAGCAAAAGCACTTGGAGCTTATGACGCAGTAAATAAAATGAGTGGAGGAAGGGTTTCGAAGACATTAGATGCAAATAAAGGGAAGATTGGAGGCTGGGTTGCAAAGAAGTTAAGATTAAATAAAATAGGGCTCATAAATAAAGCATCCAATTTGGTTGCGACTGAGTCAGAAAATGCTTTAGGAAAGGACGACGAGTTTGCAAAACACGCAAAAGACTTTAATGACCAGATGAAAGGTGAAACAATGCATTTAAATAGATTCGATGGAACTAAAGAAAATGTTTCTTCTCCACCAGTAGTTCTTCCGTATGGTCCCTATGGAATGTATGGAAACCCTTATGAACGACCATTTGACCCATTGACTGGTGGAAGTAACTGGTATCATTACGGACGAAGAAGAAAGATAGTCAAGTTGGAGACGGACGTAAAGAAAGCAACTAAAAAGAAACCAAGGAAGAGAGTTATAAAGCAATGAATTCAACAGGGTGAAAAAAGAGTGAAAAAAAGAGGTGAGATCTCACCACTTCACCTAAATTTATTTTTGTGCTATGTTTTCATACGTGTGAGGGTGGTGATATCATTAATTTTTAAGTTTATTTTTATTTTATTTTTTATTTTATTTTTATATAAATGACGAAAACTATTGAGATAACAAACTACAACGGTCATGAGTTCAAGAATTTGTTCTTCGTTCCTCGTGAAAATACATTCTATCAGATACGAGGGAGAAAGGGTAAAGTTAGTTTGAGCGTTTATGAAGGAATGAAGAATGGAAAGTTTATACAAGCATACGATACAAACGGTAAACGTGTTTCATTAGCTTTGTCAAAACTTACTAACATTCATTTTGACAGTGACTTTGACCTATATGAAGAAGAAAGTGAGTCAGAAGATTATGAGCTGTTATGTGAAGCACAGCAATGGGAGGAGTTGCAATACTTTTGTAAGTGAGAACGTTTATTTTTACAGTAGTGAGGTGAAGTGGTTGGTGGCTTTGTAAATATTTAAGGTTAAGTTAGTGTTGTCGTTTGTGTTGTAAAATATACGTTAACGGTTTCGTAAAGTGTCAAATTCACATATCAAGGGTAAGGAGGCGCGCAGTGCCTCCGTACACATGATATGTATACTAACTACCATCATCCACCAATGACCTCATAACATCTTCATTAAATCCTATCATATCATTGTTTGTATTGCAAGAGTTCGCAACCATTTCATAAAATACAGGTCCATATGATTTTTCAGGTTCTGCAGGCATATTTCCATAAGCTCCCATGGAAAGCTGAAGATATTTAAACTTAGGGTTCTCAAAATTAACATAATAGTTGTCTTTCTTTCTAAATAGTGCCCAAATACTTTTAACATTAATAGGCGTATAAGCTGCTGTAAATGTTGCACTTGAACTATCTGTATTCTTTGAGAATGAACCGTCCATAGGAATCCAATCCATAACTTTAACAGGAAAACATAAATCCTCGTTTGTATAATGTTCTACAAGTTCTGTATAAATGTTAGGGTCTAAAGAGAATGACTTTGGATGAATAAAACATTCATTAAAATCCATCTTTGTTCGAAATAGTTGCTGGGTTACAGTTGTAATAGTAACTGTTCCACTAGCTTCTACTGACTTCGTTATCATAGTAAATGGTTCATTCCATGGAACAAATTTATTTGTCGGTGGATTTGAATCTGAAGCAAATGCAACTTTAAGAGTTGGATTGAAAGCAATGATATCATTTACAGATATAGATGTGCATTGTAAGGCGTCGCTACTGAACTTTACTTTAAGCTGAATGTTTCCTGCAAAAGCTGGAATAAATCGAATAGCTTCTAATGGAAGGAATCTTCTAACAGGAATTCTTAAACGAAGCTTAAAATCAAATGATTTTCCTGCTGTAATTGGACCACTAACAATTTGTCCTGTTCTGCATGTTCCCGAATGACTCCATACATCTTCATGTCGAGTCTTTGAGAAAACATCTACTTTCTTTATTTGTTCGGTAGTTTGTGAGTTTGAAGTTATATATGCTTCTTCTCTTGCGTTGTCTTGAGAATATACGATACGACCATTTGCAAGGATTTGATATCCAGCAACTGCGTAGAAAGCGTCATCGAAACCAATCCAAAATCCTGGTGGGTTTGTTTTATTGGAACCTGAACCAATTTCTTTATCTACAATAAATTGACCTTCCATTTTATACGTAATGAATGTATTGTAAAGGTCCAACATATTTTCACCAGGAGGTGAGAGATTGAATGTTACCCATGTGTTATCTTTAGCAGTTCCAGGTTGTGATGGAATCTTTGCGTCAGAATATTTTCTATTAGTGTCACCAATTTGAACTGCATTGTCTATGATATCGAAATATGAGCGAATCTGATGAATATGCTCTGCTGGAGTAAATTCGTTTAGCTGTTCGTTCTGCATGTATTTACTTCAGATAAAAATATCTATTTACTTCATTATTCTCACTCTTCTTCTTGGCATTCGTGGTGGAAGTTGTTTCTTGACATTTTCAATGAACTGTACATTCTCTTTTGTCTCAACTTCTTTCACTGGTGGGTCAGGGTTCTTTGACTCGGTTTGTTTTTCAATGAAATTCACGAACTTTGCAATATGCTCTTGGTTCGTTATTGAAAGTACATCTGGCTTCTTTTCTTCTTGTTCTTTTGGTGGCTCAGTTTGAACAGAAGGTTTTATATGGGCTTCGCCCTCGGTGCCATGCACATTAATGTTGTCGCTTTCTGCATTCGCTAATGGAACCTTTCTTTTTCTTACGTATATTTTACCATCTTTACTCTGACTTACGTAATAGAAAGGATGTTGTATTCCTCTTGCGTCATTTAATATAATAGACTCTCGCTCTGATTTTGACAAGCTCATTTTACATCGGTTAAAGTTTTAATTTTGTTTTTTATCTGCAGTCAAATGACTCAGACAAGCCCTACGGACAAGACCCAAGGGGTCATAGATGTTGAAGCATTGAAGAAAGAAATTCGCGAGCAAATTTTATCCGAACTGAAGGAACAAAAACAAGAACAAAAGCCAGAGAGACCAAAGAGAAAACTTAGTGAAAAACAACTTGCTGCATTAGTTGCTGGAAGACAAAAGAACCCACGTTTGCTGGCGAAGAAAGCTAGAGAAGAAGCTGAAGCAAAAGCTAAAGAAGCTGAAGCAAAGAAAGAGTAAATGGTTTATTTTTATCCGAATTAAATGTATAGACAAATACCTTATCTGTTGCGTTCAGTAGTGAAAACCCTGACGTCAAAATAAAGGGGAACAGAGTAACGTTTAAGTTTCCAACAGACTGGATTGTGAACATAAATGAAGAGAAGTACATTGGCATAACATCTATGTATATAACACGTGCTTTCAGAAAGGTTGACTTTATACTTCAAGTCGAGATAGAAAATGACGAACAGTCTTTAAGCGCCCAAAACATTCACATATACAAATACTTTAAAGACGATACAACATTGCAACAATGTATGATTTCATTTAATGAGATGTTCGAGAAAAAGTTCAACATTGAAGTACAAACTTTACAGCCTTTACGTGAGTTTCTTGCACAACTGAAAGAAGAAGGTAGTCAGCCACAACTTATAGACTTTCATTATGAATTTAATGAAAATGAAGATGGAACACATGACTGTCAGTTTGTTGTATTCTCACCATTCAATGAAGTCGCTAAAGAGAAAGAAAATCCATTACGTATAAGATTTCAAATCTCTGAACCAAGTGATGATTTCAAGAATGTTTTCAATTATGATGCAATGCTTCCGAGGAAAAATGAATTTTCAAAGATTGTAACACCTGGCATTTGGGATAGAAAGCAAGCTATATTATATTCAAACTTAAGTAAGGGAGTTGAAAATGAGTTCATTGGTCATACAAGAACTTCACCACTTCCTAACCCTAAATACTATAAATTAACTGGCTTCAATCGTGAGTTTTGGATAGACATGTTCTCCACTCATGACCATAACTGCCCAGTGTTCTTACCTCCAGACATAAGGACTGTCTCTACATTGAAGCACAACTCTTAAACTCTACCATCGCAGTATTGTAAATGACCACATGGGCTTCGCCTTGCCGCTAGCGGCTTATTTTTATCATGAATGGTCTCACTGCTGACAAAAATAAATGACCTCATTATTTTTCTCATTCATGACCTCAGAACTTAAGCTTTCTTATGAATGAAGTCTTAGTCTGAATAGAAAAGTTAAACTTCTCTTTAAATGCAGGTGTAGCAGACTTACATAAGTCGAATGCAATCTCTTGACCGTCATAAAAGTGCTTTATATAACTTCATAACACTGAACTCAGAGTCTTTGTCAAATTTTCCTTGCGAACCATTAAACCTTTATCTTCATCATAGAAACACTGAACAGAGTCAGGAAACATTTCATTAGCGGTTAAAGCAATAACATCTTGCTTCACGCCTTTCATTCTGCAGTGAAATGCAACTTCATTTAAATCATTCGTGAGTAAGTCTATGTAAGTCTTCTTTCCACAAAATATTGACTTGTATGCTAAACTTTGTTTATCTTTTGTGATTTCTGCAAAGTCGCTATGAAATTGACCAAGGTTTTTACCAATGAGAACTCTTCCATAACGTTTCTCAAACTCTTCAGCTAAACGAGGGATATCTTCATTGTAGAGATGCATACTGCATGCGTATCGCTATAAAATATCATTCCTATCCAGCAGTACAGAATACTTCACACATTATTCTCTTCGACATAGACAGAATGTTAACACCAAGTGGACAGAAGTTAAAGTGTCTGCAAATGCTTTTCGTTAGCTTGAAAATAGTTTTATCTGAACCATCCAAACCTTCGAACTTCACTATATGGTTGTAGTTTCTGATGGCATATCTTATAGCATCTTTGTCATTTACTATGGTTATTTTTGACTCAATAGGAGATAGAATAGTTTTGCCATAAATACTGTTCAGAATGAGCTTTTATATTTCTTGCAAAGGATTTCCTTCTTTTTATACTTTAACCTTAACTCAAACAACTTCTTTACTTCATCTCTTATTCTAATATCTTGTTTCCATCGTAATAGTATCCTTGCAACACTTCACATTTGACACTTGATATTTTATGAGGTCTTGTAATGTTATATGGTCAACATACATTAAACAGCAAGTGTTTGAACTTCTGGGAACGTTAAGTTCTGGATTTAGTTCAGGGTCACAAACTATTAAAGAAAGTGTCTATGTATTCCAATCTCTGTTATCTTAATGAGAACAAAGAAGCAGACATAAACTTTTCACCAATGGGTTCCTTTTGGTCGTCATCGAATAAATGTCTCATGAGATACTCTGTGCTTAACATTTCTTTCTTCATAACCTTTGGAATACCTTCTAAAGTATAAAGTCTTGCTATAGCGGATGGATATATGAAACAGCGTCGAAATCAGCAATGAGTTTTCTTTTCGCTCTTTTGTTTCATGTTATCTGACATACATTTCCACTTGAATACAGCGTGAAATAAATTCTCTTGGTTTATTTGAGAGGTCATATAAATTTCCATTCGGGAAGTACACTCTGTTTCAAACAATTTGTTAGCAATAGAACAATACTAACGTAGTCATACGTTTAAATCAAATTCTTTTAATATGTCATTGCGGAACTTAACAAAACCTTCTCTTAAAATTCTTACATCTTGTTTGCAAAGAATGTGCTATATTTTTCTAAGTCGAAGTGGTTTTCATCTATCTGCAACCTTTGATGGAATCTATGTTTTTCATGAACGTATCCGCATCCTGGATAAACTTACACTGCTTCAGAAATGACACAGTTTCTGTTGTCATTTGCTAACAAAACACTGCTGTAGTAGTTGTATGGAAATACTTCTTTCGGTCCTGTTTTGTAAGTTTAAACATAGCAGGAATAGTTTAAGCTTTTATTTATAACACTGTAAGAGTCTTTTATAATAATTGCCGTCTTTATATAGCCAGTTATTTGCATTGTTCGTGAACCTTTAATGATGGGAGTTCCTTTCACTTCTGCATGTGTCTTAAGATGAAGTTTATATCATAACTGAGGTTATGGAAATATATTAAACTCTTGTCAGGAAGTCGTTCCAAAAATTCTGTTGCACAGTTCTGACCAAATGCTTTCACTCACTGAACCATCTTCACTGTCATAACAGATGTTAAAAGCTTTATGAAAGCCATCGTACTGCACTCAAAGTCAGCAAAGAAAACGTGCTCAGGAATGAACTTACTTTAGCTTTTATTTACTTCTTTTGACTCGGCTTTCTCTTCAGTTTACACAATACTTTGGAGCATATGTCAAATCTTTAAATGGTGCAAGGTTCTTGTTTATTAAGTCAGTCGTATATGTGAAAAGTTCTCCATAAGAAATAGGTTCGAAATATCTGCACTCACAATGTTTTCATAACATCCATAACGGTGTTGTTCTATCATAACGAACTAATATTTATCTCTCTCTTTGTATAAATCTTCATTGTTTCTCAATGTTCATTCCACACACTCCTTCAGATTTCTATATAGTTGCGAATGAAATATGTTTGACATTGGTAATCTTTCATTTAGCATGTAGTGGTCTCAACAAGAAGTAAGTCAATAGTTCGAACAGTTTTACATTCTTTTGGTATGTATCTCTTTATTTCATTATGTCTTGATCATTGAAGTAACCAATGGTAATTAAATGCTATACCTGTTGCGTCAGAAATTTCTTGTACTTTACTTTGAGGAAGTCTCTAACACGAATGACTTCTCTCATGTGGTCAATAGTTTCTTCATTCTACTCCAGCTGAATGCAAGCATAAACGAAGCAGTTATCTTCTGTCATAAGTGTGCAGTTTTTTGTTCAGTTCATTGAAGATTTGGTAGCGTTCAAGATTTATAGTAATGTGCAAAGATACTTCCAGAACTGAACCGCTTTCTCTTTTATAAAACTTCTTTTCACCATATCTTTCCAAAAGCTTTCTATAAGTGCTGGTTTCCTGTTTGCTTAAGAGCTTCCAAAATGGCTTTCTGTCATTTGTCAGTGTGCTTTCATCTCTATGGTCTCTTTTTGGTTTGCCTTTCTTTACATTGAATCGTTAAGCTTCATATTCTGTTAAATCATAAATCTTTTATTTCAGTAAGATTCTTTATGTTTGTCAAGAAGAAGTCATAGTGCATTTTCAACAATACCTGCAGCATTTGCTTCTATCTCTGATATAAAGTTCTCCTTCAAGAGCTGATGTAGTAATGTTCCAATATTATTGAGGTTTAACGTAGAACTTCATACTTTCCACCAAGTTTATAACATACCATCCATCTCTGTTGTGGAGTTTATTTTTAATTTTCTCTAAGAGTCTCATGAAAACTTACGAATGTTTGTGTAAGTAGTCTCTGTTTGGTTCATCTAAAGCTTCGATGTTAAAGTCAATGAGTCTATTGCCTGACTTCACATTTCTCTTCCTATTCTCTTCATCTTTCTTTAACCATCTCTCACTTCTTTTGGTTTGTCGTCAATGGAACGAATGACATCGTTAGCTTTGCGAACTTGTTCTATAGCGCTCTTAAACATCTCTCTTCTCTGTTGTTTCAGTGTGTCGTCTCTTCTTCTTGTTTCACCAACGTTTGCATTTGTTATGTCAAACATTTCTCTTCTTACTTCATGAGGTACTGAACGTCTATGATATAAGTCAATAGCAACGTCATTTAAAGGAAATGCTCTTGCATGGACTTCGTCCTCGCCGCGTTGCGGCTTTATGAACTCATGAATTCTATCATAACTTATTGCACCATTATAGTCATTGAGGATGTCAGCGAGTGCTTTTTTGTTTGTTGCGTAATGCTTTGCAACATCTATATTAGCTTCTGTAAGAAGTTGTTTTATTTCCGAGTGTTCTAACTTAGACAACTTCCGATACATCTTTAGTAGGAAATAAAAAAATATTTTTTGAAAAAATTAGATTAGATTTTTTTAAGTTATTTTTCAAAATAATTTAATATTTTTATTTTAATGAAACACATGCAAGATTGCAAGTTCTTTTCATACAATGCTCTCGCTACTGCCATCAAGAATGAGTTCAATAATGCTTCAAATGTTAATGTTATCTTTAACAAGAAGTTTGTGAAAGAATCTAAGTTTGGTCAGTATGTCAGACCATTAGCTATCGTCATTGACCGCAAACGTTATACTTCACAAGAGTTAGCAGTAGTTTTGAAACAAAAGAGTTTCTTCGTGAATGTCAAAGATACTCATTATACTGTCATAAAGAACTCTAACGTCGACTTCTTCAGTATTGCTTTAAATCTTTCCGAACAGAAAGAATATAAGAAAGGTGAAACAAATGTGAAATATTATCCTTCATCTCTGAAGACAATAACGAACAAAGATGTTATACAGAAATTCTTACCAAAGGTTGAAGAAGCTTCTATTGACATTGACGAAGGAAGTGAAATGGTTGAAGAAATAGACCCTGAAGCTATTTAAGCAAAAATATATTTTTGGTTAGTCTTCATATCGATATTTTACAACAATTCCCCAATGTATAAACTTTTCATACGCTTTTTCATAAGCTTTATATACCTTCAGAAATTTTGCATAATCTTTAGAAGCATTTAGATATTGTTTAAATGCTTTGTATGTCTTCAGAAATTTTGCATAATCTTTTACATGTTGTTCGTTCTCTTCTTCTGTCATGAGTTCCGAATATTCTAAATTCATGTTCTTTCATATGAGATAAAATTTTATAAAAAAAATAAAATTAGCTTAGATTTTTTTATTCTTCCTCTTTGAAGTTATCGAAATATTCTGTTATTTTTTCCTTCAGTAATGTTAAGTCTTCTTTGAATGTAAGTATTGTGCAACCTTTGATGTCATAGTGTGTTTGAGGAAGAGTATTTTTGACAATTTCCTTTATTTGCTCATTCGGTGTCATTGAAATCGGTAAGTTTTCACGATAGAACCAGTTTCTGTCAGATTTATATATCTTAGCTAAGTCATAAAAGCTCTTGTTGTTTCTTCTGACTAAATGCAACATAACCATATCTTTATCTTCTTCTTTCTCCAACTCTTCAGTATATATCATATGCTTATAACTCTTTTCCTTTCCTTTTGGTACTGAACGCGGTATTCTTTTCTGTATGCTTTTGTCTTTGGATTCAATGACTTCATCTTTTGCTTGAAGTTTCTTTTCCATCTCTTCACGTTCTGCTTTATATAGTTCATCTAACATCATGAAAATATAACAAGCATAACGAGGTGAAGCCCACATTACTACAGCATTTACTAAAAGTCTATGAACATAATAACCTTTCAAACCAGGAGCCAAATTCTTGCGATTTTCATACGGAATCTCTTCTCTCGGTTTTCCGAGGGAAGCAATCATATGAGGAAATTCTTCTAAAAGTTCTTTTGTCTGTTGGTTTTCAAACCAATGATATGCTTGCTTTGTAGAACGAAGAGCATTCATTATACTTTGCATTTGGTACATGTCATCTTTGACTGAACGAATGAGACGTAACTGTTTGTTATACTGTATGTACTCATATTCTTCATTTATAGCTTCATGGACTATAACTGTTGTTGTGTTCTCTGATGTTGACATTACTGTCTTTACATACAAAATAAAAAAATAAATAAAAATAAAATTAGCGTTATTTTTTCTGAGATAAACACTATTTCTTCACAACATTAAATTTTATCCTGTATGAAATGACTTTAAAAAGATTATTGACTGACTTCGAATACTATCTCATTGACGCACTGACAGACCCTCAAAACTGTGTTGAAAGTTCTTTAAGCTTTAAGATTGAAGGTACGACGAATTTTGTCTTCACTTACGTATTGAAAGAATATGACCGTTATCATAACGAAGTGAATCAAACACTAATAAAATTTGTAGATAAAAAATTGGATGAATATTTTAAACGTGAAGACTCAAACACCGCTGGAGATGATGAAGAATACAGACAAGTTATTGAAAAAAAATAACGCAAGATTAGATGCAATAGAAAAGAAGTTTAATGAATGTCTTACAAACACGTATGAATATCTTATGCGGTGGGAAGCCAGATGGAAATAAATTTACGTCAAATATGCAATTTATAAAATCTTATGTCGACAGGCTACGTAGCACAGTGGTCTAAGGTGGTGTTATGGAGGGGTCAGTGTCTGTGGTTCGAACCGCGACAGCGCCGTATTTTCTTATTTTCTTTGTTTGTCTTGTTTGTCGTGAATCAAAAGCGTCATAAAAGTGCTCTATCTTCCACGGGAATAAATCAAAAATTTACTTGATTTCTTCTTTATTTCTTTGTTCCCGTGGAAGAAGGGTTTTGCCGTTTTTTCTCAGCCGAAATCAATGATTTTTTTCATTTTTGGAATCCCTAGCGAATGAGGAATCTTTTCTCTCGTGGAAGCTTTGACCAAATTTCATGAATTTTCACAAAAGACAAAAAATAAACGCTTTACATGTATTTTTCAGCAACTTCGTCAAATAATTTTATAGCTTTATCTATCTCATCTACTTCAAACGTTTCTTTACCTTTCGTGGGAGCACCATACATTTTCTCAAACTTTTCAAGTAGTTCTGTTTCTGCAGCTCTCATATCATTAACGAACACAACCTTGACTCTATTGACTGTACTGTCATATCTTTGAGTTATATTATATGTTCTTCCTATCTTATATCTCTTTGTATTGAAGTCCTTCGGTTTCTGAACGATGTAAAGTAAGCCTTCACTGCAACGTTCTGAGTCGAATGAACCATAAGTTATGAAGTTATATCCAACAACTGGGTCTAACCATAACAAAACTATTGGTATAAGACTTTTGTCAATGAGATATGCTGTAGTTCCATAGAATCTTACCGATATCATAAGCTCAGGATTTCTTGTCAAAATTTTCTGAGTTGAAGCATTTCTAACCCAGTGGTTTGTTTTCTTTTCAGATGGAGATATAATGTCTGACAAAGAATATTTGTTGTATTTCTTTGAGTATCTTACGTTTAAATCACCTATTCTAACCACTTTGGTGTCATTGTCAATCTTTCTAACTGTTTCAAACTCAATGTTTGACATTACTGTCTTTACATACAAAATAAAAATTTTTCTTAGAAAAAAATTAGCGTTATTTTTCTAACTAAGGAAATTCATGAAATTTGGTCATTTTTCAGACAAAAATAATGTTTAGGGTAGATGGTTAGATCTAACCTGATATCTAACCTCATTTCTACCCTCATTATTTATAACCGTTTTACATGGTAAACGTTATGAATTCGTGAGATTCTAAACAATTTCGTAGCTTCTATTTCTTCTTTTAGTACATCGAATGTTTTAATCATGCCGAAAGTCTCTTTATATTTCTTCTTGACGTCAGACAGAAGGAAATCTTCTGCTGTTGGATAGTTTTTATTAAGAAATGTCAACATATCCATTTTATCTTCTGCTGGCTTTTCTGCTTCTTTCTTTAAGTCTGCATAGTCGTTTCGCATTCTTTCTATCTCTTTGACTGAGTAGTTATATTTTCTTATTGCTGCTTTACATTTTGAACATTGCGGCATCGTTTTTGCGTTATACATTGAAATAAAACCAGCTAGAACAACTAAGGCGTCAATGGTTTTCTTTAACTCAAAATCTGCTGGTTTTATCTGTTCATGCCATACCTTACCTCTTCTATCTTTATCTCTTATCTGCCATACACATTTTGCAACTAATGAAACAAAGTTATCGTATGTCTTAAATTCTTCGGATTTGTAAAGGTCAAAAATATTTTTATAAACCATGTCGCAATCTTTGTCCATAACTTTATGGTTGCAATGAAAACCAAGGAATTCATAATTTACTTTACGTATGAATTTCTTAATTTCTACTGAGTCAGTTGCTTTGACTTCAATTTCGTCGAATTCAGGAATAGTTAGTTTTTGCTGCTGAATTTCAGGTAGTTTAGGCAAATGGTCGATGAGGTCCTCCATTTCATAAAGATACTGTTCATTTGTTTCATCTTTCGCACTACAGTCTAAATTACTTGTTAAAAGTTCTTGCTTTATCTTCTGGATTTCTGTTTCAAAAGTATATGAAGAAGGAATAAAGCTTTTCATCTCTACCAACATTGACGTAGGATTCATGACTAGCGAGTTTGGTGCTGTAGTTGTGGACAGAGTCCCGCCGTTCGTGGCTTGAATTGTTGTTGTGCCGATTGTTGAAATCATATCTTTTATACAAAATAAAAAAATAAATAAAAATAAAACTAACTTTATTTTTTCTGTCTTAAGGAAATTCATGAAAATTCATGAGGGTAGAAATGAGGGTAGAAATGAGGTTAGATCTAACCATCTACCCTAAACATTATTTTTGCTGAATTCAGCAACAAAATGAACGAGGTCAGGATGTATGTAAATACCTTTGAATTCACTTATAACGCCCTTAGTAAGCTCATAAAATGCTTGTTTTGAGGTGGAGCCAAAAGTGGCTCGACCGTATTCTTTCAACCAAAACTCAAGAATTTCCTGCATGAATTTTGTATAAAAAGCAACCGTCTGAATTCAGACTGTTGCTATATTCTTCACAAAATGCCTTATAATACTCTTCCCAGGACTTATTTTCCAACAACTTTCTAAAGTCTTTCCTAAACTGACTGACTGACTGACTGACTGACGGCACAAAGTGGCTTAACGAAAACATTAATATATAAAATTCATGAAAATTCATGAGGGTGAAAAAAGAGGTGAAAAAACAGGTGAGATCTAACCATCTACCCTAAACATTATTTTTGGTGTAAATTTATGAAAACATTAATAATACATGACTGTTCTCATTCATGTCTGATTTACATCTAATGAAAAAGTTTAGAAGAATTTTCTTATTCTTTCTGGCTTATTTTTGTCTTTCCAGTACTCCCGCTCTAATGGTCCCAGATGTGTTGGCTTTGACTCTCTCAAGTTCTTAGATGGTATAACATCTTCAACGCCTCCTTCATATCTTACTTTATAAGTGTCATCGTTTATGTTATAGCCAAGTATTTCAATAACCACTCCTCGCTTTGCTTCGTCAATGGTTTTAGCAAGTTTGCCATTATACTACTTCGACTAATTTATGACGAGGGTAAAATGCTATGATGAGTCGTCAGCAGCTTTTATAAGATATCCATTACCTTGCGTTGAATCTACTATATAATAATTTCGACTTAACCTTAAATGTTTCTTTGTCAATGGTTTGTCGTCAAGAACTACACGAACTTTTGTTCCAGGAATGAGAGTAAATTGTGTTGAATTTCTGATATTTTTGTGTTTGGCTTCGTTTCTTTTGTATATACTTTTCTTCTTGTTGTTGTGTCATTGAATTTGGTGTATGTCCTGTTGTAGAATGTGTTGAGGAATTTTATACTTCGAGAAAATGTTTCATTGTTTCTTCGGTAAAGTCTCGCTCTTGATTTAAATCTCTGAGAGTCCTTATGAAGCGGTTTATGATGCCGAGTATGTTATGGTTATGGTCTTCAGTAGTGTAGTGAGTTATGTTATGCTTAATGAGAAAATCTGTGATTTCATTGCTGAGGTATGCACTGTCTTGGTCTGATTGTTAAAGTACTTGGGCTATGTTCTGCTACAAACTTTTGTAAAACTCTTAACACTTCACGAGTTCCTTTATTCCTCATTGGATATGCATATGCTTTGCGAGTGTTAACATTAATGAAGATGAGGAATGGTTTATGTCCTCCTTTTCTGCTTTGAATGAGAGTGTCAAATTGGTATGCGTCAGGAGTGTTGGAGTAAATTGGTAAAAAGTAGTCGTAAGGGTTTATTTTTGTTTGATGTACAACATTTTTGTCAAAGAACGTTTTAACTTCAGCTCTGTTAGTAAATCCCCAACTTTTTGCTGCTTCATTGAACTTCTTAAATGACCTCCATGGATGTTGTTCGAATACTTCTTTCAAGCTCATTTATGTAAAGTTAAAGATTTTATTCTAGGCTCAAGCGCGTTCATTGAACACGGTACCATGCGAATACAGTCACAAATGGTGGCATATAATCTGCACCCGAGCCTGTTGGATTTGTTGTGAAAGTGTGTGAATGATTTCCTCCTGGTTCAGTTGGTCGAAAAATCTTTTTTGCTGAATTGTTATAAGATGGAGATAAAACGTCATTGCCAGCTTCATATTCTGAGTTGTATAATGGGTGGTCTCTTAATGAGTGTGTATGGTCGCCAGAAAAGTTTGTAGTTCCTGTATGAGTGTGCGCAGGTAAGTTTGCTTTTAAAATTTTCTTTGAGCCTCCTGTTTGCTTTGAAGAGTTAGCACAGTATAAGAATTTGTCTACAATCTGCTGCCATGTACCAAAACCTAAAACGCTTGCTGGATTTGTTGAGTTCATTGATGTATAAATAGAGCCTATAGGATATAATGTTTGAAGTATTTCAGTCTTTAATGTTTGAAGCTCTGTTTTATCTGCTTTCTTATCATATAAATCTTGAGCAGTGAATTTAACATTATTTTCATCATCCATGACATAAACATTTTTACAGCTAATTTCTTTCTTCGTTGTTATGTTTTCATTCGATGTTAAACCTTGTGGAAAGTTAGGAGGTTTATAATATAAAGCAGCCGCGTGCGGCGGGGCTCCGCCCTCCCCACCAGTTCCGCCAACCGTTCCTTCAATACTTTCTATAGCAACAGTTGAGAAGGAGTTATGTGTATGTTCTTTATCTGCTTTTTTATCTAACATTGCTGGTAGTTCATGTGTTTCAAAGTTTCTGACATGACCTTCAATGTTCATACATTTACTATTTAAGGAGTTTAGTGTATCTTTTACGCTTGTACTTGGATTCTCTAAAGGTGCACTTGAACCAAGGGTATAGTTCAATATTATGTCGTCTGCTCTAACAGTAGTGAAGGATTCATGTGTATGGTTCTTGTCAGCTTTACTATTTAATGTAGCTTGAAGTGAATTTATATCGGAGATATTGTGTTTATGAGATTTCAAAACTTTGTTCGTTGCGTCAAGTTCATCTTTGTCAGCTTTACTTTTAATAGCATCTTCAAAAGTTATTTTTGCCTTAACTCTCAATGTAAATCTTGGTTCAACTAATACACCGTTAACAAAGAAGTATGAAGCATAAATTTCATTGTTATAACCAAATGCTTCTGGTGCTTTACCTGTGTCATACTGTACAGTACAGTGTATGTCATAACCTTTAGCACGAATGTATTTATATCTTCTTTCATTAACATCTTCAGTGCTTATTTGTTCATCCTGTGTTAAATATCCATGGTAGTCCGTTATAATCTGTTCGTCTGAACTTATATAATGAACATGGTTTTTATCTGCTTTTTCGGCTAATTTCTCTTCTATCTCATTTATTTCAAGTTCATGCCTACCACCACCTCCGAAGAAGTATTTTTCTTCAGCTCTTGAAGAACGTCCACTTCGCCATCTTTGGTGTCAATAATGAGACTTTGAGTTAAAACCTTTCCTGTCTTAATGGATGTTTGTAAAACTTCTTCTTCACCGTGTTCGGGGTCATGGTCGTCATCATATCTTGTGAAATCAGAGATGTTGTCATACATTAAGCATATCTGTCTCAAAAGTTCTGCTATTTGAAACTGGAACGAAAGATATACAGAACTTTCATCATCTCCTAAAGTCAAGTCTGCTTTCTTAAGTATTTCTTGAATGTATGCAATGAGAACAGAGTACCTTGGAAAATATTCGAACAATATTTCATTAGCTGTTGGTTTTGGTGGTTCTTCTGGAGTTTCTGTTGTTTCAGTTCCTTCTGTAGGTTCTGTTGTTTCAGTTCCTTCTGTAGGTTCTGTTGGAGTTTCTGCATCTCTTGACTTCAATGCTCTTGCTCTCAAAGACCTAAATGTTAGAGCACCAGGTTTTACAAAGGATTTTATAAATGCTTTAATAGTTCCTGGTAAGTTATTGTTAGCATTAAGTAAGTTCCTTATGCTTCCATCATGTACGTCCATAGCACTATGTAAAAAATCTATACTTTTCTTGTAGTCAGCAATAGACTGACTGTGATTTTTTAAAGATTTGTCAATACCTTTAAGCCAATCTTCATGCATGTCTGATACTGAGCCAAGAATATCATTTGCTTCCTTTAGTGTATTTTGTGCTTCTCGTAAAGTATCCAATCTCGTACGTGCATTGTTTGCTATACGTCTTACAGTATCTATTTGACTCCTTGTTTCTTGCATCCAACCAGATAAAGTTTTAATAGTATCCGAACCATTTGAAATGAAGTTCAAAGCATTTTTAACGTCATCTAAAACTTCTTCACCAAGTACTGCCCATATCTTTCCGATTTGGTATTGAAGAACTCCATATGAAGCAGCTGTTAAACCAGTATTTATAAGGTTCCATATCCATGATTTAGCAGTTTTTCCATCCTTTCCATCTTCACCATCCAAACCGTTTTCGCCTTGAGGTCCTTGTATTCCTTGTATTCCTTGTATTCCTTGTGGTCCTTGAGGTCCGGTGTCACCCTTCTCTCCTTTCAGTTCATCTTTATGTTCGTTATAATATTCTAATGTCATAAGGTGTACATCATTACTGCTATCAGCAACGCCGAGAATTTGTTTCTCATTCATGACTAAATTCTTTAGGCATTTAATGTTGTCGTCAAATCGAAAGCTCTTTAACAATTCAATAAGAACATTTAATACTTTCACTAATGAGGCATCTACTGTAGAATTTATATATTGCACCGTTCCATCATTTATGATGGGAACCTTGCTTGTTGTAATGAATGGGTCATAAGTGTTAAAAGTATCGAAATCAATGACTTTTTTTAGTTTTTCCATCGTCAATGACTAAATCATTGCCTTCAATGGTTAAAGTTGAGTTTTCGTTTACTAGTTCATGTGCTCTTCTTGCTTCATTTGTTTCATACGCATATGCAGCAATAGTCATATTTTAATGAGAATAAAATGTTGTTCTATTTGCAAAGTACAGACCCAAACGAATACGGA